CGAGATAAGACTATTGAAGAAAATCCAACCCCCAAAAAAGAAGTCGAGAACTTAAAGACTGGCCACAGTGACAGGTCAGTTATCTTTTATAGAATCAAGGAGAATGGAAGCTCAGAACCTGAAACTCGTTTTGAGCATGACATGGGGTTGATAAAACAGCTACTAAATCAGGTCATGCCTAAGGGTGTCTCCGGAGTCACCTTGCTAAAGGCGTAAAGACTAGGTAGTCAAGCGGACTTAAAACCTAACCAAACCAGGCTGCTTAAAGTAGTATTCAAATCACCGAATGAACGGGACTTAATTTTACAAAATGGATATAAATTAAGTGATTCAGGAATTTTTATCCGTAAGAGCCTGCCGCTCTCGGAACATGTAAAAGGACGAGAAGCCCCAAAAACTAACACTTAGGTTAAATGCTGTCAAAAAGAACCAAAAAACTGTAAATTTTCGGCTTGTGAGGCTTCGACAGAGAATGATGCTGAAGCCACTCTGGGTGCAGCACGAAGCCATTTAAATAGGCTTCAGATCCGTTACACAAATACCCAAAGCTTGCTCGATAAGCGGTCGGTATTAGGCTTACAGATTGGCTCTACCGAGCCAGATATAATCACAGTCACAGAAACGTGGCTGACAGCCTGTAGATAGTATGGAATTTGATTTTGAAGGTTTTACGTTGGTATTAGTCGAGAGAATTTAGAAACGTAAAGGAGGGCGGACAGCTCTATCCATTTAGATTACTATCCCACTTACCATAGTCGACAGTGTATCCCATGAGAGTGGAACGTGTGAATTGGCTAGTTGCCGCTTGAAATGCAAGGGAAAAGAGCTGCCGATCGGTTTGGTCTACCGCAGTAAAAGCTATGAGGTAAATGAGGTCTTGCTAGACAGTCTTATTACTTGTTTACGAAGTGGTTGATGTCTCATCCTGGGAGACTTTAATGCACCCATGGTAAACTGAAAAAATCTGAGAACTGAATTGTCAGAATATTCCTTTGAGCAGGAACTAGTCGATGCAGTTATCACATATGCCCTAGTGCAACATATGGAAGAAGCGACTAGATACTATCCGGACTCTGAATCATCCCCACCAGATCTTATATTGACCCATTATAAAGATGACGTCATGAACCTTGATCACACGCCACCTCTTGGTAAAAGTGATAATGCAGTTCTAACCTTTGATTTCCATATAGTTGTCAAAAACAAGCACGCGTCAGTCCAACCCAGACCTAACGTCTGGAAAGCAAATATACAAGATAGTATACACTCAGCATCGTCGGTAGATTGAACAGAACCAGAGTCCGCAATTGAAACAGTTTGTATTTCGAAATTTATATTTAAAAGTTACTGCAACCCACATCCCTAGAACCACACCAAAGGGTCCGAGAGACTCATCACCGTGGTTCAGTAGGGAGGAACTGACCACTTAGATCTAGGACACATTATTGATGCTCAAGACATCTGACTTCTAAGAAACAAAGTGGCCGCTATTCTGGATTATCCAGAACCGACCACAATTAAGCGACTACGCACGTTTAACGGTCTCGTAAGTTTCTATAGACGGTTCATACCAAACTGCACGTCCCTTATGACACCCCTAACTGATTAACTTCGTGGACTTACGGAATCCATACAAATATCACCTAAACATAAATCTTTATGGCTTCTTTCTCTGGAATTATTATCGATTCATGAAAGTGTAATCTGTTGTTCATCCACCAATCTTTGGATCGTTACGTTTAACGTGAGTTAGATATAACTTTTACGTCATTTGACCAAAGTGATTTACACGCATATTCAAACAAAAATGGCAATTATTAAAAGCTCGAACGATACGCTAGAACAATTCACAGAAATACTCAAATGGAAACCTTTTTTGTTTGTGTATTAGGAGTTTTATTGGCTTTGTGGTAAAATAATCACCAAAGGGACAAAAGGCTGCGACATTTAGAAGCTCCCACCTTCATAGACCTATCCTTGATCATCAGTTGCACATTCGCAGCGCAACTTTCGTGAAGCGCGCCAACTGTAGTACTGATTAAAACCATCTACATTCATACCTTATAAATTATCAACCCAGCTATGTAATTTACTACAGTGTATATTGTATCATTTGTATCAATTTGATCTTGCCTGTAAACTGGCATGCCTCATGTAACAAACTGTTATTTGAGAATAAAATTATTATTATTATTATTATAATTGTAAGTCTACGTCATGTTCGAGAAGTAGTTCTCAATTTTTTACAGTTCATTTTTAACGGAATACATAGCGCTCTTCTTGTTCAACCAAGGCGCACCAATTAACTGCCCGTCATGGACTGACCCATGCAGTAATGGCCGCATTCTCTTCCTTGTACCTACTCTAACTAATATATTTCTGTGATAACGTCGTTTGTGTTACACGTTTATCAAAGCAGCTATAGTATCTAGATGCAACAAATGGTAATTCACGTTAGGTAAGGTTTTTAGAAAGCCAGAACTGCTACAACATGTTGCACACTGATTAAACGTTTTCCTTATATTTCTCCCATAGCTGTCCACAATAAATGGTTTGGTCCTTAGTTTATAAACGTGTTTGTTTCTAAAATGCTAATACACGTGCATATTGCATTTTCAAGTATAAAAAACGGCACACTATGTGTGTTAGTTTACGGGTTTTCGCGCACATGTAACATATTGTCGTGGATTTTATGTTTCGTTATTTATCAGCTATTAACAGCCTTTTTTCCATCATACGTGACTTCTCGTAATCTTTGTGATTGGAAGATAGTATTTATTTCAATTTATAAGCAGTTTGACGTATTTTGTGCTCACCACCTAAGTAAACATGCAGTTGGCGTAATATGGTTATTTTTTAATAATACAAGGTCAAACAAGTCAAATCACCATTTTTCTAGTGAAAAATAGAAAACAGATTGACTTTTCATGAATATAAGCCGTGAAAAGCATTATATATGGTTCACCTCCTTGATTATGGTGACAGCAAACATAGATGTTCGCAGTCGTTTATACGATGTTATCAGAAAGAAGTAAGCATTAAACTAACTATGGATATTATATAAATTGTTTGTATTTAGCCATAAAAGGTTATTTGCACTAAAGGTAGCATTGTTTGGTATTGAAGTGACATATTATTGTGTAACGTATCAGAGAAAAATTATGTGAGTAAGAATTGATGTTGATAGTCTTTTTTACCGGCTTTCTGAACGTATACAGGAACAGTATATAACACCACATTAAATAGGCACAAAATCTTCATAAGTGAAACGATGGCTGTCTCTTCTGAGCATGGTGACAAAACCATGTCGTACCTAATATTGATTCATGATGTGTCTGTTATAGCGTTGACGAATAATTTTCTGTAAACGAAATGCACAGTCTCAGACGAAAATGTGAACAAACTTATGATGCATATTGTCGAGTAATATCTAAATGGTACTTACCAATTTTTCTTGCTAATACCAGATGTATGTACGAAATAATACAAGGGTTAGACACTGAATAAATTCCCAGTGCTTGTTACGACACAGACTTGAATAAAAAACAACTATTCATGAGTTAATTAATGAATTCCTACTGTATTACAGAGTGACTCGTCCGAAGTAATTCATGCAGACAACGGGACGAAAAGTGAATGAGCAATGGAAGCAGAATCACAAGTTCCTTGTATTCATATCTCGTTTATGCCAATTTTTAAATAACATTGATTTGTGTGTTGTAAAGATTACCTATTAATTATTATTAAAGGAAATAGAAATCTCTAATGATTAGCGCTGTCTGCAAATAAGAGACTTATAGGTACATTCTGTAACCTGCTATTTGATGTACTTATTGAATGTGATACTTATAACTGGGTCTAATTCTTTATTTCACAACTGATTTGTATGTTTTTCAGAATTGTATGAATCCAATAAAGTCGTCAAAGGTTTGTGATGTTTACGCCGGTCTACAACTTACAGAATTTGTTAAAAAACGGTTTACATGTTCACGTTAACTGTGTTCCGTATTGCCTAGTAACATTTTTATTCAACTAATGAATTAGTGAAATATAAATATAGCAACTACACTTATTGTCTTACTTTATAAACCGTGTCCGTCTTTATTAATAGTCGATATGACGCTAGAACAAATATAGATATAGAAGAATATGAACTCCTTATAATCCATGGAGTGAACAAGTAATAAGATGGATTATGTATTAATTCATTTCACTTTTAAAATTTAGTTGCCGATTTATTCCAGCACCCTGTCACTTACATCTGCTCACTTAATCCTCTGTAATTATGTGACCTCTTCAAATTGTAATAAGTTATTACGTGACCCAAGTTTTCAGTTCTTAAATCCACGGATCACTTATAGGCCATAAGATTTTCACACCACTTATCTGTCTGTGAACTCCAGTCAACTATTACACCACCCATTCTTAATGTGTTATTGACTGTAAAAACAAATGACCTTTGACCTTAAACTGCATATATATATATATATCTAGTCATTATTGATAACCCACGTCATTTCAATTATTCATATTAAGGTATGTCAACTGTTTCCCACATCACTGTTAAATCCTAATGCATATTTAGTTATAACGAATGCATACCACTGTTAATCAACATTTATCCTGGTTTCATTTTAATTCATAAGCGGAACTAATCACATGGAATTAAAATCTTAGCTACTGATACGATTTTAATTATAAACGTAATCCGACGAAGGTGAATATGATATGTGGGTGCCTAATCTGCAAGATTGTACGTGGATGTAGGGTTTCTGAATCATTCTTAATTATTACAAACAGTTACACATGAACGTCATTGCTATTTATTCCCATGAAACTAGGAATAAGATGAAAATAAAAATTATGACAGTTTATTGAATAATCATTGATGCTAAAGCAAAAAATCAAGTTTACAAGTTGGTATTAAGAATTCTTAAGTAATAATTGTCCACCTTCTTCTCAACTTCCGTTGCAAAACGTTCACCATACTTCTCAATGATGCGTTGCTTATGGATTCTTTGGCTTCGTTGAATACTTATATACACTTCACTCCGTCGTGGTAATGCAGTTAATGTATAATTTTGGAAGTTCTGGGTATTATGTAACTTCCATCTGCTACAATACCTAAGAAGTTGATGAGCTATGCAGTTAGTATTTCATAATTGATATAGCTTACCTGTAAGATTTCGTCTTTTAACGTAGGCAAGTAGCATGTGACGGCAGGGATATCGGCACATCATAAACGTGCTACAATTGCATTGACAAATGCTTATATCAACTTCATAATGTTGTCCGCGATCAACCATAAACAACCAATCACCGCTTTCATATTCCACGTAGACAAAACGCATTTGTTTAAGTTCGTATAACAATTTAGATCTAGCGAATGGGGTCGAAATGTTTAGCAGGGGTGTAAGACGCTGTGGAGCATTATATTTATAAGATCTTGCGGCTATCACTTGATCTTCGATAACTTCATCTGCTGACTCACAGTGAAGTATTACGGGCTTCAAGTTCTCTTTTTCTTCTGACGATAATCTCCTTGTCAATGGATCACATACCATCCATGAACTACTACATGGATGATTGTGGAGCATGTTGTAGGATTTGATGACATATCCTTGCTCCTCTAGTCTTACACGAAATTTAGACCTTAAACATAAGATATTAGTTAAAGATCTTACGATTTTTGCCTCATTTTCAAACCTTCCGATTTCCTCTTATGACCAAACGTACAATTAAACGATACAAACAGGTTTTTGAACCTCACATCCTTCAGCAATCTGCTTTCTGTGTGGATGTAACGAGTATAAGTAGTCTGAGAAGCGATAAAATTATAATTCCATACTTTTTGAAACTCTTTTAAGGCGCTTTCAAAATCATCCCACAAGACGAAACGCTTGTTCAGTATCATACTTCGAAAGGCATCGGTTAGGTCGACTGAAATGTCACTTGAGCATGAAGCACTAAAAACAGAAATGACTAATTATTAAAAGGTTATTCCTTGCGACAATAATAACCCAAGAAAATACTACAAATACTTAGGATTTACCTGTGACTTGACATTTCGTTGAGCTTTACTACAGTTGTTGGGATCAAAGATCAAATTACAAAGCAACAACAGAGCCAACGTGTACACTACAAAACAGAGAACGCTAAATTAATGGTTTTGGCATTTATTTCGTGCTTTTTTATGTAGCATAACATGACTTATATATGAAAAAACTTCGTACTCATGCAATCCAACCAACCCACGGCAATTGAAATACGGAATGACCGCCTCTAGTCAAGCCGTTCAAGGTCGTTGAAACGAAAGGGCGGGCACATTTCAAAAGGACCTAACGTTTAAACCTTGCCATAAAAAACAGAAAATAACTTTATGTGCCAAACTTCAAACGCTATTACCTGATATGTTTGCCCAAGTATGCTAAGTTGTTTGCTCAAATTTTGTTTTTTTGTGCAAGTACGGGTGTACATTCATCCTCTTCATATTCCGGAACAACCGAATAAGATGTAAAACTGAAGATGAATGCAATGAACAGACTTTTCCACTGAAGATGCTTTGTTATTAATATATACAAAATGCCTCTTTATACTAAGGAAGGACGACCGGATGCTATTGGATATATGGAGCTAGCAGAAAAATGTATAATGATGGTACGCTCTCAAGGTTTAAACATCCGACTCGTCGTATCTTAAGGTCATCACTACCACACTAAGGGAATAGTGAACTGCGGTGGTAAGTTAATCATAGAGATGAAAACTACTGTATGTCTTTAATATTGGTACTGACCTTATTAGTTATATTGTACACACCCTAGCTGGAAGCGCTCGGTCAAGCACCCACACTAGATCACGAGTATGCAGGCTGTTACGCATCCTCACGTAACAATAACCGGTTTAGATCAAACGCCTCACAACATGTCGGCAACCTTCAAAAAATGTCTTATAAATCATACTCTTTGTTATTGCTAACTAATGCAAACAGTGCGCTATTTGTGGCAGTGTCACTAGCACTGTGCTTCAGACTCCCTTTCAGAAACATGACATAAATACCATTTCTTTGTAACAAAGACCTGTTTTCTTCTGCTCAGAAAATCAACTTGAGATGTGAATGGTTTCTGGACGTAAAATTTACAATCTGATATCTCTTCGAGAAATCCGCTCTTCTATTCAGATTTTTGGTTCAGATTCGAATTTGTGTAGTAAGGACAGAAGACATACAGCCTCTGTTAGTACTTTTCTAGTAAGCTTTTGAGAGTATCTTGTTTTTTCTTGAATGATTCAACAAGAAGGGTGGAAACACTTCTTCGTGTAAGAGATTCCAAGAACTGATGATTCAGTGTGAAAATCAGAATGCTATGAGCACTTTTTGTGTACTTGGCTTTCCTAATCGCCTGCTATGTCTTCTGATTTGTACATATATGGATAAATATCAGGATAATAGCTCACCGTTATCCCAAGATCATTGCGAGACCAAACTAAGGACACCAACTCTTCCCCTATGTGGCAACTATTTGCTTTTGTATATCTAATGTGTATATAGACACGTTTGACTGCGTTGATAGGCATCAGCCATTTTAGACCAGCCAGTCAAAACGTCTAAGTTTGCTTGAAGTGCACATGCATCCTTGTCTCTTGTTATTCCTCGCCAGAATTCTGCATTAGGGTATAGTAGCAGAGAGGACTCAACAATACTTGAGGGTTCGTTTACATACAATATGAAAAGCAAAATAAGCAGGACAGAGCCTTGTTGAACTGCACTAAGCACTGATTTCCAGGATGAGCACTTGAAATTTACTCGTACTTCCTGCCAGCGACCTACCAAGAAATCGCTAATCCACTTAAGTAGAGGTACGTTAGTGCCTGGATTTTCCAGTTAAAAGAGTAGTCTATTTTTTGGCACCTCATCAAATTCTCTGCTGATGTCTAAGTAAATAAAACTCAATGATTTTCCATTACCTGACCTCCTGGTCTAAAACCTTGTTGTGTGGCGTCAAGTCGCGGTTGACTGTGATCACCACTATAGGAAGACTACGTGTCAGCTAACCGATAAGATCCCCCTTAAGTAAAATATCAGAAGGCAGTTGGTGGCCGTAGTCGAGATGTATTTGTTGGCGATCTCGTGGTATCGAAAGAATACCGAGATCGTGCCATGTTACAAGTGTGGTTACTGAGCGTAACCGAATTCGTGCAAGGTCACAATCAACGGAAGAATGTATGTATTTTGGTACAGTTAAACAAACTACTACAGTGAAACAATCCGTGGTACAATCGGTTATAATAATAATTGTTTCCATTAAACCAATCGCGTTCTTTTGATATAAGTAGGTCACTACAACTTTTTGCCATAAATTTTATTGTGCAGTATACTCCCTACCTGAAGTGATTTTGTTCGTCATTCAACAACTTGTTGGCTTTCACGACTGTCATTATGACCTTTCTGTTTATTCTCTGCAGTACTTGATTCATAAAAGTCGTGCGGTTGGTAGGTTTGTAATTTGATGGGAGTTGTCTTGATCCATGCCCTAGGTAGCCCACCTTGTCCAAGTGACTATCGTAATCAATAAAGGATCAAGGTAGTTCTCATAATTCGCACATTAGTACCTATTGAGGAAAATGATATGCGCCATTTAGACTTAATCAATGCTAGGGATCACTGGGTTTTGTAGATTTGCTTGGAGGTGATAGGTTTGAAGTGCATAGTTGAAGCGCCTGGTTTAGATCTCAGGGTCACCAGATTTCCTATGGACAATAGTCCTCACACTGAAGGTCGCGTGCGCAACAAGAGCGTTAGCGGCGAAAAGTATATGGTTGTTTGGGACAATTGTAAGGTCTGTATCTGTAAAGTGTATCTATATGCCGAGTAAGGTGTTTTGTTTTTGAACGTAATCTCTGCGGTTCATGGAATCAGAATAAAAATCTGTTTCCTTTTTTTCTGCTCTGTTGTTTTTGTAGTAACAAACATTTGTCATCGCACTGCCACCTTAATATTGGTGTACTGTTCGACGAGAGTTAGGTTTCACTGGTGTAACAGAATTTCATACTGTTCCCCAGTCTCCTGATTTTGGGGGATTTTATAGTCTTTTCCAAATCCATACGAAAACCCGTAGTTTCCATCAAAGTTTGGGGAAGGTATTGGAAAAAACACAAAATGTACCCAAAAAGCTTCTGAGTTTCTCCAGGCCTGGAAAGATTTAGGGTTTTGTGTGCTATTTCCCCAAAACGTTCTACTGTAGTTTTCGCCAAGTTTACCCAAAACTTACAAAATTTTCGTGAAAGTCGAGAAATAAAGTTTCCAAAGTGTCAGAATGCAAAAATGGGCAACTTTCATATTTGCTTGGTGTATTGTAATTCATTTTCGTGCCATTCGGTATACTTTTTGGAGTACAAAATTTATCTACAATGGGGTAAGCATTATTCGGCCTTCACTCTGGAATCCTTTACGTGAAAGTAGCGAAATTATTGCTTGCCCTATTGTATCCCACTGATGTATAAGGCTGCATGTATATTTATTGTTGTGTCTATTCTCCAGTACTTAGAATTTTCGCGGTTTACGGACAGGTAGTTAATAACAATTATCAGGGCTTTAAATAAATCTAGAACAAATCTTGATGCAGAATAATATGAATTCATTATATTTCGTGGTTTCTCGTCAGCTGCTTGCAACCAAATATATAGTTATCGTTGATAACCTTTGTCAATCCAATCCTTTACATTCACTTATGTCAATTGTTCCATACTATTTCTTATCTCTATATAAAATTCTAATACGTATTTGGTTGTAAGCAGCTGACGAGAAACCATGAAATGTGATGAATTCATATTATTCTGCATCAATATTTGTTCTGGCTTTAATTACATTCATAAAGGGAACTGACTGCATGAAATATCGGGTTTTATCAGTAGAGATTGAGATCATACAAACCGGATATGAAACTAGAGAATTACTTACGTGGAAGCTAAATTATAGTATTGCTAGTGGTTCTGGCCTTTGTGACCTATGTATGCACCTTATGAACTACAGTCATTCACTAAATTGTAGTAATGAACTGTTAGACAAATGATAAAAGTATACTATCCATAGTTATCAAGACAGTCATCCGAGATCTAAAAAAGCTATAGACAGCCACTCCAAAGTGAAAGCAATTAAGTGTAACGTTATTCTCTCCTTCAGTACTTAGAACTTGCGTTTTTAAGAGGTTAATTCACTGCACAAATAGATATTTAATTATAAAGAGCAAGAAAATATGTGGCTCAGAGTGCTGAGTATAAGTCTATTTATTTGTTTTCATTGAAATGGTTAGACCGACTGACAAACTTGATCACAGCTATTACCATAATATGTTTATTTGATTGTTACGAAAACTATCAACATGATGATATTTCCTTTAAAAAGCTTGGACCAGATTGCCAGGCGAAACGTTAGATTTACTTCAAATTCTTCCGCTGAGATTTTACAAATACATCCTTCCTCTTTAATATCAACATGATTGTTTACTGAAGTCTTACCTTTCTAAGCAAGTCAGATAGATGAACAAAAGCAATCGATTTAAGGTGAAGGAGCGAATTCTTACTGCCGACTGTGCAAGATTTAATCAGTTCTGAAGATAAAAAGAAGGGTTAGTTAATGTCAACCACGAAAATGCTCTTCAAAGATAGTTTACATGGACAGGTTAATAGTGTTAGGTCACAAACATTTTTGAAACAGTAGTGCAAACAATGCATAGGTCACATTTTGGAGAACTGAGTGGAATGAAAAATATGTTGAATAAACTGATTTTCACTATTTAAGGTGGCTGGGACATGAATTACGTATGGCAAGCCACTGCTTTTTTCTATGCCCAATGCTAACTGGATTGAAAGTAGATTAAAAAAGGCCAGGACCTTTCAAACCAGATCACCTCATAAGTTCATATAGTGTTTGATTGGTAGTGTGAGAACTGACTATTCATGTTACTATTCGGATGTAAAATGTGGCAACTTAATCTGATACACATCTGCACTAGGTCTTACAGTAATGACCGTTGAATACTGTAAACAGTAGGCTTTTAAACTGGAAACGGCAGTTTACGTGTATTCGTAATGTTTATGTAGTTAATGGTCAACAGTTTCGTTATTTGGCATCTCATCCCTATCCTCGAATAGTTTCCTGGTTGAATTGTGATTGTTCTGCCTGCAGCGCGCTACACACTTGTATCAACATATATAGTTTTTGTTTATGTTTAAGATACTACTAATTCACATTAATACTAGTCACAGTCATAGGTACTGCCAACATAAAACGTGGCACAAATCTACACTAGTCAAGCTTGATGATCAGTTGCAGAAGTTACTGTCCAAAGTTCTGTCTGCTTTTTCCATCAAGATTCATAATAGTAAATAGAAAACTAACTCGTTTACTAGGCACTTGGATATGAGACACACTTCGAGTGTGAGAACTAATAATTCTACGCGACTATCCAAGCCGAAGTGGCGTGGGTTGTAAATCTATTACTTAGTGACTGGATGTCGAACGCTAAAACCATTGAGCCACCACTCTGCTTTTAGTAGTACACTAAAGACATAGGTTTCTCGTTTTACTGCACTAAGCCATGTTGGTAGCTTCAAACTACCTGGTTAATATTCGTGTGATAACCACAATCAGTTGTTGGAGACTTTGGGTGACATAAATTAGAAGTAGTTACAACAGATGTATTCACTCTTGTTCGTCCTTCAACTATTAGATTCCAATATTTCTTCATACGTACTGTTTCACTTCGTCTTTTTGTACTATGTTTTTAGTGTTCAGTCTTTCTCATTATTATTACCACTACCGCACCATTAAATTTCGGTTGGTATTCATCTTGCTGATTTTATCTCGTGCTATTCTTGGTACAGCAACACATTTTCCTACCAGGCTTTAAGTCATTTATGGCTGTTATTGTAATTCATTTGATAATGAAGGTTTATTTACTCACCTTTGAGACACATGATTCTTGTGGGACTTGTAACACCACTTAACCTTACAAACCGTAAAGTAGATGGAACAGAGTATTAACCCACGACCTACTGATTGAGGTCTACGTTGATCAGGATTAACGCTGCTAATCCCTAAAATTAAGCAATTGATCAAGAAAACAATGCTCTTGTAGATAAGCTTTCAGTCTTCAATTTTCATCTTACTGGCTTGTATTACTATAGAGGATTTTCAGAATAGTACAAAGCAGTCATGTGGGAATACATGGGTTTGTCAAAATATGTATACTAATACCAAAAGGCGAATGGAGTTTAGCCATCATATATTCGGCTACATAGTTTGTTATAAACCACTGATGTATGCACAGACCAACAATAGTTTCTTAGTTCTCAAAAATCGTTAAATTAAAACAGGACTTAAATGTTCAGTGTCTAAACTGTCAAAACAAGTCATAAGTATTAAGTATGTCTATGATTTTTCTGATGAGTCTGTAGTAAAATGCTCTACCAATAATCAATGTAACCGTTGTAACTGAACTAAATGCTAATTCTTTGATAAGTTTAAGTCTTACTGGAAAGAATGTTAACATATATGACTAAGATGCAATCATAGTCAATTGATGAACTCTATACAGAAATAAAACTGTCTTCATTAGTTATTGCTATTTCAATTATATTGCCATCCTCTAATTAAAGCAGTTAAATATTCCGCTTTTTTAATATCTTTATTCATTTTCAGGGTACTGAATCACCAGCTACTTTTGTGCATGTCGAAGAATTATGTAAGTTCAGCACGCATATATATATATATATATATATATATATATATATATATATATATAATATGAACTGGCTGGTGGCAATTAATAAATAACTGTGAATGTAGGTTTGCCACTGATCAATAAGCTACATATGTAATTTTAAGGGAACCGATGCTTTTTATGGGATTTGAACATATAGAAACCGTTATTATTTAACTTTTCACCTCGTAATCAGCTTATTGGTTACTATAAAGTGATCAATTAGTTCAGACGGTTGTTATATCTTGGATCAAATAAGAATTTGTTGTTCCTGTTATAACGTACACCTTTCTTTGTAGTTCAAAATATATTAACGCGATAGTAATCTGAACTTTAGTACTATTCCCTCAATCTTCTTGACCTAGTTAGACTCCGATTATTGAAAAAGATGAAATTGATCTGTGAAGCATAAATAACATAAATAACTTCAAAAGAAAATTTACCGCTTAATACATTCCAGAACTAAGTGAATAATTAGTTTTCAGAATACAGTAGTATCACGTACAGGAATAAATGGTAACAGGATTAATCAAAGTACAATGAAATGTTAACTGAGCAGTTATCACATTAAATTAACTGATAATTTTACTTTTAATCGATATCTATCAACGATTTTCGTCTGTCTGGGATAATGATACTACTATTAGATTGCCTATATTGTATGAAATAATAATCAGGATTCGAACCAGAAGTCTATCAATTGGAAGTTAACTGCTTCAGCCGTTCAATTATCCATCAGAATTCCTTGTCATTTTCATCATCTTTCATGCTCACTTTTTTTGTTATTGCTTAACTGAACGTCCTGCTGTTGTTCTTATTTTTCTCCCAATGTTAATGCTCTTATGCGTTTTCTTCTCTCTGATTTTCAGCTGATCCTGATAAAGCTTATAAAATATTTTTAAAAAATCACACTTGTTATGATTTAATTCCATTGAGTGCCAAATTAGTCGTGTTCGATGTCACATTGAATGTAAGTGTGATTAACTATGTATATATTCATTCATTTTTCGTTCACCATCATCATCATTAATGATTATTTCTCTCCTCTCTTTACATAGGTAAAGAAAGCATTTTTCGCTTTAGTTTACAATGGTGTACGTGTAGCTATATTGTGGGATTCCACTGAACAGAAACATATTGGCATGTTGACTATTACGGATTTTATACGCATATTACATCGGTACTATCGTTCACCAGATCAACCAATGACTGAATTAGAAAAGCATCAAATTAAAACATGGAGAGGTAATTGTTTATCTTAGATAAAGAGAGTTTTAGAAAGATTATTTTGATTTGTAAGTGGTAGTCGTCATATTCTTACATTGTTTCCTCAAAACCTGTAGACTCTAGGTTCAGCCCGTGATAGTTCATGTGTATACCCTTAATGTTGGTGGTAGTATTGTGTTTCATGAGCTGGATAGCTATAACTTGAATATAACAGCATAATCAGGGCTATCTGAGAGTCTGAAGTAAACACTTATGCTTTCTATGTGAAATTCAGATTTACGTCCTATAAAACCATTTGTTCCGTAAAAAACTTAAGGGGAGGGGAGGGAGCAGCATTTACGAATCTGGATAAAATTCATTTGCAGTTTCTTCATAAAGGTTGATCACTTCATTAGACTTTATAGGTTTGATATTAACTTAATTTTTAAGTGTGAATGGCTGATGCAAAAAGGGAAAACTAAAAGCTACCAAATCAGTTCATGACATATTCGTCCACGAAATGTTTGACTGTCGACCTTGGTCTAGATCGCCGACGTACCATATCAGGACAGCGTGATGAAATTATCGAGATGAAAGTCAAAGTTTTAGAAGTAGCAATAGTATCAGCACTTGTGAAAGAAAAGATAAGTGATCAACGACATAATACGCGAAGAAATATTTTAAAGGAAACTTTAAAATCAAAGATCTAATATAAGAGTGGATGCATCTGTCTCATCAGTACCGATTCTAAACGGTATCGCCCTGTTGGTGAATGGATTCAAACACTGTCAAAAAACAACACGTAATGGTTAATTTAAACTTAAAAATTTATAAGTTCTCATACTCTAACCGATTTGATACTAATTGTATGTTAGAAACCTCTATGTAATTAAGTTTGTTTAGTCAAACCATCTATCTACAATTATTATATGGGGATTTAATATGTCACTACTTGACGTAGTTTTTGGTGTCCATAATGTTTAACAATTCCTCATAGATTAATGTATCACACTTTCCATAATTATTTGCACGTGTAATTATGTAATCGAGTGAATGAATCCTATCAATATCAACTACAAGGTATTTCGGTTTGGAAGATGTTTACCATTTCAATGAATATTATTTGGAAAGATGTTTTCACATTGCAATCAAACGACTTTAGTATGAAACAATGGCAAATAATTTAAATTTTTGGGTTTGTAAGTCAGTAGAGTTTATTTGATATTGGACTAACATGATCTTAGTAGCCATCGGAAATCGTGGAACTTTAAACAACTGGTTTGTCCTACTACAGGGCTCTTTAGAAATGAGTTTCTAGGATCCTTCCGGTTTTACGACGAACTCTTTATCTTTAGACAGTCAGATTCCAACTCAAAAGTCCATGGTCTTATTCTTGATGGTCGAACAGTGGTTTCAAGTTGCTAATGAGTTTCATATTAAAGTGAAGTAATTGTCCAACGCTCCCTGGATTTGATTGATTCCACAGTCTAGGTTTGAAATAGTCAACGGGAAACTCTTTATTGGCGAAACTCTATCACCATCAAGGACTAAACAGATATAACATTCATTGATACTTGGTGATCGTTTCTGCTGACTCTAGGGAAATAATAAATTTGAACAAATTCTGTCCAAAAATGGTTATAATCTGATCATTTTTGACAAGGTAAAACTAATAGTAATTCAACTTAGTGTATCCATCACACTGGTTCTGTTATATCTTACGACCGCCAATTAGGGAGCAGTAAATTATCGATCGGACCAAGGGTGCGTAAAACACGTACGAGCAGCTTAGAGTTCTGACTGGCCCCGCTTTCCGCCTAGCCCAGTCAGTTTAGTTCAGAACACCAATCTCAGCCTCTGCGTATGAATCCTTATATTTCAAACATACTGAGTTTATATACCAATCAAACAGACCACAACGTAGCATAAAATAGGAAATAACATTTATACAAGATATAGCCAAATGTGGCTGTGAATGTGTGAGGCAGTGGACTAATAGACAGGGCATAAATCAATAATGGTAAAACGTATAATAATGGCTCATAGGTCAAAATGAAGCTCAGAATAAGAGGTATATGAATATGAATAGTTTAGTTATTTAACAATTATGGGATAAAAATATACGTTTAGTATTGGTCCATAAAAAGGATCCCAAAGTTACCATTCATTATGTTTATCGAGACCTAACAGGTTCTTATACTAATCTGTTTATAGTGACTACTTGTAATATTACTTGTTACTGTAGAAAATTCTAGATGAATTTTTGAGTCTATCACCTTTCATACAAAATGTTCATTTCTATAGATTTTTTTGAAGTTGTTTATGTAAGATAAAACAATGTAAATCTGATAACCTTGATAATAATTGAATACTGTCTGATGAATTATTTATTTTTCATCTTTGTTTTCACCATTATTTGACCTTAAATTTCATTGAATTAATAAACTTGGACAAAGTGACCTTGTCTAGTTTGACATTGTCATCAATATCATTTGGTGTATCTTACTGAACTTATCTCTGGCGCATGTATAACATTTTGTGAATGAAAATGTGTTTAATATACCAATAGAGATATATACAATAGGGGATCGGATCAAGCTGCCCGACTTTGTAATATCACAGACAAAACCACTGTTAGATACTATCCATCATTGCTTACAAATAGCTTGTGAATTAAGGTAATATCAAGGCATACGTACAGTATGCACATATGCCAATAACAGACTGATCAATTTCAGTCTTAAACCTCAATGAGAAGATACAAGACAAGCAATACCAAGTGAATTCAAATTCACCCCATTGCACAAGCAAGTGGCTATCAGGACTCATTAGCTGAGTGGATAACGCGATAGCGTTAGAAGCGACTGGTACTGGGTTCGAGTCCCAGAGTGAACATCAACTCTTTGAGATGCAGGTACATCCAGCTGACGAGTCCCAAATAAGAAGAAACGTGCGTCCTGGATTCCACTACTAGCCACTATCCATCATTGATTACAAAAACTGACAAAGATTCTGAGATATTAAAGTGAATAGTCAATCAGAGATATTCAATGTATGACTTAAGACATATGTATTACTTCAAGTTGTCGTACCACATGAACATAACAAGATGAAATTTTACAAGATATATATCAAGGTGGAAGAAGTGTAGTATCAGTGATATGAAAAAAATAAAAAAAATAAGGGAATATGATTCGAAATGGGAGAATTAATTAGTTAAAAAGTATAAGATAATAGTGAGACTCCTGATTCAGTAAAAAAAATGTGAAACAAATGCATCTAAGCCATTGATATTAATTTTGAACCATTGTCTCGTAAGTTATCCATCTACTGACCATCATGGTATGGGGCCCTAGCCAATCAGGTTACAACTTAAATATCTCAGACTATCAGTCAATGATTTCATACATGAAGTGGATATATGTCGAAAATTGAAAACCAATGGTTGATGGAATATTATTTTACTTTAAATCCTTTGATCATTTATTTTCATCATAAAGAGAGCTATGTCTGTAGACAGTTTACAGTTCTTTGCACAGTTCCATGAACTTGACAAGAATCGTAAATGAGTTCGAATAGTAAGAGTATTAGTATCATTGTTAGTGAAAAAAACCAAACACAGAAAATGGTTTAAAATGGGTGCGTAAATTCACGCTGCATAAATTACGAAGTAATATTGAAAGTCAAGGTTTAGTAGAAGATAAAAAGTGATTACATCATGATTGATGCACTGATTCCCGTCTACATAGTTTGGATCTATAAATATGGTTCAAAAAATCAGTCAGTGGTTCAATAAATTTATATCACTGTAATTTAACCATCCCTTGCCTAATGTCCCACCTACACTTACTTCAGTCACCACTGCATATATAGGTCGATTGTAGTTGAGCCTAGGTAATACTTGTGTTAGCCACCACGATTGATAAAAATAAATGTATATAGTCAAGTTGGATTGTAGCTAGTAATGAAATCTAGGACGTGGATTTAATCTTACTGAAGATCGTTAGCCAAATCTATCTTCATCCTAGTGTTGGTGTTAGTAGGTATCTAAACCCATTAGCTCAGTGGAAACTAGTTGGCATTTGAAGCGAACTTCACTGGCTTTAAGTCCTACTGTAAGCTTAAATACTGAGATACATCTACATCTACACGAAAAGTTCAAAATAGGATTAAATGCGCATCATGGGTCTTATCAGTAGCCACAATCCAACTCAGTCCTACTAGGTTAGAACCTTATAAAGTAAGATTCAAAGATTAAGTACTATCAGAGGACGTCTGGTTATGCTGGACATTTTTTTGCTATGACCTTATACACTGGCTTTCATTTATATTTAGCTTCACACCACAAAGTGGTTAGTGCATGAATCGGTTCACTATTACGTTTATTAACGGAATTTTTACTGACTAATGGGGTAGTTTCAGTTCTTGAAATATTTTGATACCTGCGAGATATTAATTTGCTGTACAGTGTGACACCAATTCTTCATCCCTAAAAGTAAATGATATACAATGGGTAGCGCTACTATGGCTCATTTAATAAATTCTTAATGGAAGAAACACAGAATCTCGCTCTGAGAATGCAGAGCAAATTATTCTATTAGATTCCTAACTTTTATTGACCAAGAGAACTGGATTTTACACTTCGAACCACCACCGATTTGTCCCCTTGGATAAAAAGAGAGTGGAAGTGGTCAGTTGGTGTAGAGCATATTTAAAGTTATCAAATATTGAGATCTCACATTAATAGCATTAATTTAATTACTATAAATCATCTTCAGACTTCAACTAGATAATCTTCACGGAACAATAAGTACTGGGGAAATCTTTTGTTCTAGTATTCGATTTCTCAGTAGTTTCGTACTTAATTCGAGAATTCGTACGAGGTACTATGAATAACTGAATTCAACCAAGTCAGAGGTGAAAATTTATCACTGACAGCGATGGATGAATAGTTTCATAGAGACTAAATGAAGTATCCTTATTCTCATTATGTTCAAATTTTTGTGAATCACTTAACAACAGTAAACTTTCTTGATTTGACACCCATCATCTCAATAGTTTTTCAAATTAATCTAATTTCGAAATAGATATTTTAAAAAATTATGGAAATTCACTTGTTTGTTTTAAACAAAATACAAACATTACACCACTTCACCTTCACATCGCCTACTTCAAAGAAATATATAATATACTTCACATCACCGACGAAGTTTGTTTATTTTTATCGGTTAATGAAATAAATAATTACTGATTATTATGTAAAAAAAGTTTTTCATTGTATATATCAGTCAGTCAGTCAACTACAACGTAGAACCAGGCATCGGTTCAAGTTGACATACCTCATTAGAACAACAAGATGAACAGGGTAAACGGTGTTCAGGTATACGCAACATGTGGCTCAACCATCTCAGTAGATGAAGATTCACAACCTCATCGACTGGCTTACCATCATTCCCTAATACCCTACGTCTAACCTCACTATTACTTAACGGGTGATCCCAGCAGATGCGAGCAATATCTCTAAGGCATCTGTGGTCAAATACTAGTAGCTTACGAGTATCTTCTACTCTTAATGGCCATATTTCGCAACCGTAAAGTAAAACAACAGTATACTCGTCCCTTAATTGATAGACGGATATCTCGCCTTCGCTATGGGTGACGTAAGTTGGCAAAAGTCAAACGAGCTTTTCGAATCCGTGCTGTATATATATATATATATATATATATATATATATAGACATGGAATAAATTTACTGTAGTTTGTAAATTAGTTACCTTTTTCTCCGATGTAAATTCATAAGATTAACGTTTCAATGTGATATAGTTGAATTGGGTCATTTAATTCACTATTTATATTCTATGTTTGTTTTTCTTTCTTCGCAAGCGAAAAGTTAACCTTAATCTGTAAAATTAATCATTAAAATTTTGTTTCATATTATTCTGTATATAAGTTAATCTACTTATATCTATATATAATATGGATAACAGTCCAAGTCACTTGTCATTCAGTCATAAGCAATGTAAAACCTGATACATAGGTGCATCAGTTCACATTGTCACAACTTATCAGTATAGCAAGATGAAATGATTAAAACAAATGCTGGTGGAATAAATAAGGAGCTCACTTCTATATAAAGCGTTAATAATATTGTGCAAAACGATAATGACAGCTCCGCATTTAAACTGTCTAATTTAGAGAACTGAACAGTGCTAAAAGCATTGACCTGAGATACAACTCTTCTTCTTCATTTCAGTATTAATGGTAGTGGTAATTACTACAATTAGACAAAATAATCTGAAAAAAAACGAATGAATTTGCAGAAGAAGAAAAGTATTAAGTAATTTTAAGACTAAAATTATAAGGAAGGTCAAAGAATGACTGTGTATGTTCGTTAGAATAGATTCTGAGCCATATCGACCATTGGTTACAATCTATGCACGGATCACTGTTCGATACTCCCCACCTATTATCAAGTTTCAGTTCACTACTCAATAATTTTATGGTTCGATCATAGGTCTTGATTTGGTTACCTCTATTCACACTCCAGCAAACAAGTCACTTATGCCAGTGGGATATTAGTTATTATTATTATTACATCACTTATCGGTTAATGAAATGAATAATAACCCGATTCAAGTTCGTGAACTTGACTTCAAGCCACACTCCTATTGTGAGAGTTAATGATATTGCCTAGCTGCTGAAACCGGAGTAGATAAAGTGTGGGACTCAGATTTTTAACTTATTGGCTGAAGTTCACATACCCTAACCATTAAACTATCAACTATGATAGAGAATAGGTGTTCATTTTAAAACATATTGACCATTATTTGGTAGATGTTCTTGTACTTCAGTTGCTTTTTATTCTTGCTACCTAAATGGACTGTGTATATAGATTAGTTGATCAATTCGCAAACTGAACTTCAAATTATAAAACCAGAGATAACCACTCTAGGTTCCATAAAAGAAACACACTTTATTTAATGAAGAAATCACATTATACTAAAATTAATTCAGAACATAGTGTTTAATTAATTTAAATAGTTTTGAAATAAAGCATAGCAACAAATAGTTAAATGGATTACATAACTATTCAGTAGAAAAAAGTTATTTGTTTATGATCAATATTGTTTTGTTTCAATTCTTTTACACTGTAACCTTGAAATGGTTTTCTGCATTTTGTGTAATATAGATTCCTTCGATCTGAATGATAATTTATATATTGAATGATGAAAAGTTCATTTTGTATGGTCTACGTATATGAAAAATATATATATATAAATATCCACATTAGTTTAGGATCAAACTTTACTAAATGATCACATAGAGATTGCCCCCAAATGCCCTGGTATGGCCTAGAGTGGGTGGGCCCGCCCTCCCTCTCGAAATGCTCTCACACAGCCACGTGTATACAGCCTCTGCCAGGGAAGTCCTACTCACTGCCTTCTCGTATCAGGGGGTGTTGTTTACGAAATTGAGAGGACGAAAAGCGAATGTCCGGCGCATTAACCGGATTCCAAACCAAATCAATGGTGCACATGGGCTCCAGTATCCTGCAGGAACAAATGGTGTATGAATCAATCGTTGGTCACCGGCTACCATGGGACTGCATCTCCTCACGATGCTCCATTGCCTTGTGGATCAGAATTTTAGGTCCAAGGCTCGGGGTGTAGCCCCCTAAGAAAGCCACCTGATTCGGTCTGGGAACCAGGTCAGTGTCCCAGCTCTCACACAAATCGAATGATTTATGTGACGCTTATCTATTTGGTGCCTCATTGTACCAATCTTTATGTGTTTAAATAAATAAAATAAATAAGCATAGAGATTTATTTATTAAAGTGAATTAATCAGTGACATACCTTAGTTTCCGATTAACATCGTAGGATAAGTCAGGATTCTAATATATGACCTTATGAATAAATGTAAACTAAACATTTACTAAAGTTTCGAGACGAGGTCATATTCTTTAAACATGTGATTTTCTTTTATTGTCTACTATTTCTTTAGAGCAACAACATTTCACTTGACTTTTCTCAAATCAGAACAATAGTTGAGAGCTAACAATCTATGTCATAATACATAGAACAAGAAAGATACAACTTTAAAACACTAAAGTTTATTCAAAATCAACAAAATACTGTTCTAGCACTTGACTTTGCCCATTAGCACCGATTGGTTGAAAATGGATTAATTCGTGTATTCCAATTTGAATTTGATAAGATTATTCAGTAGTCAATACTCTGTCCTGTTAACTTACCATAGGAATATCTAATTACATTAATTTGAAAATACTATTTAGGCATTTTAAGCAAAGATGGATAGTGGCTAGCAGTGGAATCCAGGACGTGCGTTTCGTCCTATTTGGGACTCGTCGGCTGGATGCATCTGCATCGTAGAGTTGATGTTGATTCAGTTTCTAGCCAATATCCATCTTTGCTTAAAAAGCTTATGACTTAAGGCTATATCGAGGCAATTCGCACAGGATACATATATGCCAACAAGAGACCGATCAATTGCAGTCTTAAATAACAATGGGAGGCTACAAGTAAAACAACACCAAGTGAATTTATCATTTAAGCAGTTTAACCATTCAATTACTAACCACTGGATGATTGTTGAATTGTGCAACTTGGTATTATCATATTTGCTTTCATAAACAAAAATTTGTGGCACGTAGTTGAATACATAAATAAGCACCTGTTTACTGAGTTAGTTTTCAAAAGTATGATTAATTAAGGATTTATACACATAAAACGTCCACCGTGTTCGCTATTTGTTTTATTTCTATCATCATTCGGATTTCAAACTTCAGAAAACTTTTCTTTTATCGTGTACAAAGTTTTCAACATCGTCTTATCTGTACTCTTTCGAAAGGTTCATTTAAATTTAAGGATGGGAAATCAATTGATGAAGTAGTAAAACTTTATCAGTTGAGATGGCTGGGACACGTGTTACGTATGCCCAATCCAACCAACGACCGACGTGCGATGTTTTCTGGTGTAGGAGTAGGTTGGAGGAAAGCTAGAGGCGGCCAGACCAAAACATGGCACAAGTCCATGAAGTCACTGACTAGTGGACTGAGCCATGTTGGCAGGTGTAGACTACCTGGTTGGGATCCGCGAGACGATAGCAACCGATGGTTAGAGACCCTGAATGACATGGTTGAAAATCGTTTGCAATGGCGCAGGTGCATCCACTCTTTGTGTTCTCCCAAATTCTAATCTTCTGAATTCTTTATGTCCCTTTCTTTTTTCTCTTTTCAAATTTATTTCACTGGATTGTACTCTTTAAACAACATCTTCAAACCCTAATGTTTCCGATTACTACTTATGCTCTTACTACCTCGACCACTACGGGATTTGAATCAATAACTGCATCTCTGTGCTAATATAGTATAGTAACTCGAACTGATGTACGTACGTACGTATGAAGTTCCACGTTGTTACTGACTGACTGACTGATATAAATTTAAGTAACATACTGAATAAATGAATCAAAATGATGTAAACCTGTTTTGTTTTTGTACTTAAGTCGAAAACCTTATTTATTATATATTTTTTTGTTTACTCTTTTCTCTATTCTTGTTTACGTGTTACCATATATTTGCGTACGTGGATATATATTTGTGTATGTTCATAGAACAATTAACAGAATATCAACGTTCATTAATTTTCATAACACCTGAAAGTACTTTATTAGATGCTGTACGTATGTTACTCAGGCATAAAGTTCATCGTCTCCCTGTAATTGATCCAATCAGTGGAAATCCATTGCACATATTAACACATAAACGTGTACTGAAATATTTACATATTCATGTAAGTTATTGTCAATAGTAAATGTTACCTTCTTTTTACATTGTTTGTTGTCTTCATTGTCTTTTTGTATGTCGATATTAAGGTATACTTATTGATATCATTTCCATTAATATAGGAGATTTACAGTGATCAGTTTGAAGTTGCTTAATGTGCTTATCTTGTTAAGGTGTAGTGATTTGAATAGGAAGACTGTAAATACTGGCTCAATGATCTGCTGATATGTGTAATCTCAGGTTAAAATTTGATGTAACTATATCGGTTTGGGTCGGTGGTTGATGCTTTTAACTTTCAGCCAGTCACAAGTTTGAGTCCTGGTTCACCTATTTCAGTTTCTTCAGGTAGGTAATATTACTGGCCCTCACACATAAGGTGTGACTCAAATCCCCAAGTACGCTAATCTGTACTTGGTAAATGTGTTTTATCATCAGTTTTCGAGGATAATTCACATCATGACCTGGATTTATCTCAGTAACAACATTGGAATCCATATAGTATTAAAAATCGGTTCCTTAGTATAGCACCTCTTACGCAACCATTTCAGGAATCGAAGCTAGGATCTTCGAACGTTGCTCCGAACGCTTAACTCTCTAACTAATATTGAGTTGCAATCTAGTAGTCAACGTTTCCTACTTCAATCATTTTTGATATCACTGTTACTTGAAGTCTTTCGATCCTGACTTTCTACCAAAACTTCATGAACTGTCCTAGAGGTCGGTCACTAGTAATGAAATATTTATTATTGTTATTATTATTATTATTAAGGGAGATTTCTGTAATCGCAACCCCAAGATCACTTGTACCATGTACTGACTTTAAATTGATAACATCTACCTATTTCATTAATTTATAGTATGATACCATTAAATGTGTGTAGCAGAAAACAAAGTGAAGATGTTTTGCCATGAAGTATGATGATAAGAATAATGTATTTTAAGATACAACAGTTGAATCAAGAACACAACCTATATAGGTTCTCTTCGGTTCAAAGTGTATCTTACATGCTGTTTAAACAGACAACTTGTTCTCAATGATTAAGCGTTAATACATGTAGTCTGCGCTACTTCACATCGTTTTCATGAAGACAAATTATATGACTCCTTTACTGAAACTAAAGTAAGGTAGGGGTTTAAAGTTAAGATGTTTGTCTTTTAGTCACTAATAGATGATTGTGGCACCATATTATGACTTAACGAAAGAGGGAAATACGAGTTATTGGTTGGGAACTCATCGAACTAAAAGTAATACCTTTACTTCAAAGGTTGATGGCCTTGGGTTTGATCCTTTACGGAGTCTGAGATGAGTACCGCTGTTGTTCTTGTTATGACTTTAAGTTGCTGTCGATTTTTACCCTGTGTTATCGATCGATTACAGTGACACGTAAACACGAACGAACGGCCTACAGTTCTGATTGGTCCTGCTTCCCTGTCCAGCCCAGCCAGTTGAGTCCAGAACACAAGCCACAGCCTCGGAGATATGAATCATTATATTTCAAACATACTTTGTTTATATACCAATCAAGCATACCACATCGTACCATAAAATAGAAAACAACATTTTACAAAATATTTAACAAGTGAAGTAAACATCGACCAATAGGAAATGTACATTTAAGGTCCAAGGCCACCATAGACTTAACACGATAATTATTGGTATATTTTTCCGACTATCCTAACAGTTCTGTTTCATGATTCTAAATGATTTCCCAATCAAAGGAATTCTCATTTTAAATCTTCTTACATACACAATCAATATTGAAATCTTTTGCATTAAGTTTTGTGATTATACTGAAAGACAGCGCATCTCTTCAAATTAGCGTACGTTACCACATCCTATTCGTTAGTCTTTTTCCTTTCAAACACACCTTAACTGAAAGTTGTTTACTCATGTAATCATGGTACTTTATGTCTATTTCTAGTAGTATATATTAAATAACATTACCTCGACCATGCGACTTGTATAACTATCTATGATATGCATATATAAACTGTCTATAGATTGGGAGGATTTTCTAAATACGCTTATATTCATATAATACTTATTGTGTATTAAGTAGCATACATTGGAGTATAGAATTTTTGAATAGCATAAATGTTCTTGTTATTATAACTTGATATTTTACAATACACATAATAATAACAAGTAAAATAAATAGAGTATTATTAAAGTTTAATAGTGACTATCAGTGGGATTCACTTAGTATTCATCAGCTTGATTTACCTAGATTTCATTGCGAACCTCAATATTGAGATATAAGTTCATCCAACTGACTAGTTCTAAGTAAGACGAAACACGCGCTGGATTTTATTGATAGTCACTGCTCAACTTTGGTTAACGTTTTTAATTAGCAATATCGAGTCAATACCTTCAGTATCTTCATATCCCAGTAGTGAATGGTCATTTGCTGTCTTTAACATCGACAACGGGAAAATACCAAAGCTGATGTCCTAGATTATGCCCATCTGGTTGATGCATTCTTTTTACATTTTTAAATTATGAAATCTGATCACAGAATGATGATAAATCATTGTCAGTAATGTCTATAACTTAAAAATAGATGTAAACATCCTGTTAATATAATATTGTACTTTATGTATTTAACGTTATGTCATGCTTTGGTGATGATCAGTAAGAGTCCCACTACTTGCAAGCAGGCAGATCTCAGTGAAGAGCATGGTTTTTGAGTGGTTCTAACCTATATTATACTATGATTGTCCTAATGGTGGGAAGTCTTACATATACTCTTTACTGTGGTGGGTACAAATAAAACTAGACTGCTTTTGATTTAATGCTATGGAGGTTGGTTTTTGTGGTTTGATGAAGCAATTTTCAATCATGAAAGTTAAAATTCGCGTTCCCCTCAGCACGTTTGACATAATAATGCAGAAATCCATTAAGTCCCTTCACTTCGAAGGGTTCTTGGAATTTTTCTCAGTAAACGAAATATACCCATTGAGACATTGAAAACACCGAATTCTCTAAAAAAATTTCAATGAGAGGAACAAGACCTACATGGTCGAAAAGTAACTGAATGAAGAGAATGAAAAATGATCATGTAATTAACGGAGGTATCTATGAACACTTAAAACCAACAGGATCAGTAATACCACGATTATATGGTTTGCCTAAAATACTCAACCCTGGCCTACATCTCGGATCAATTCTTGATATATTCGAATTCCTCTACCACTCCATAGCAAAGTGGTTAGTGGATCTAGAATCCGTAAGAAAACGTATATGCATGCATTACCTACATGATACTTTTGAATTCATTGATTACATATAAGGAGTAAATGTAAATGACGAACTTACCCTTTCTCTTGACGTCGAATCACCATTCACCGATGTTTCACTTACAAAAACGATCATTTTTATCTTCAAATAAAGATTAATATCGGAATATTGGGAGCTTATTCAAAGGAACTACTATTATGATGCACTTGTATTGTACAATTTACACTCAACGACGTAATTCATCGGCAAAAGAATGCCATAGCAATGAGAAATTTTTAAAAAAAGAATTGGAATCAACTTAACTCAACATTTGGGTGAAGAAGATTGATAATGAATGGGATTATATCACTATGACTGATTTTTGTGCCACATTATCTATATCCGCGAATCACTGGTCACTGTGATCACCTGGATGTATCAACCCAAGTAGTCAAACTACGTCAGCTCCCCAAAATGAATAGTAAATAAGTCGAATAATTAAAGTAGCAACCATAGTGCGATTGATAAAACATTGAGAATGTAGTTCGAAAAGAAAGTATGTACGGAAGATGCAGATAGTCACCACTCCTCCAAACCTTGAGCCATGTCACTCAACGTCTCCAACCACTGATCGCGGTTATCGCGTGGTCTTGAACCATGTAGTAGTCTGAATCCACAAGCATGAGTCAGTCAGTGATTTCATAGACTGATATCACATTGTTAAGCAGGCTATTATAGTAAATTGGTAGGTGAAACACTGACGACAATAGTCAGCCGTTATAATCTAAGTTATGTAGAAAGTGAACAATGTTTGTGGTTGGTTTCATGTTTATCTCACATCATAAATCTACAGGAAGCAGAATCTATTCTCAAATTTCTAGTAGAAACTACAGTCATAAACAAAATATAAATTCAGGGTTGATTTTCATTACGACCAGATGTCACCTGGAGAAAAATGAGTAGAACAAAGAAAACTGACCAGACATTTCATCTTAGGTTGTAAATACTTAACAAGATGCTTTCACAACTCAACATAGGATTCAACTCAAAATGTATACGTTTCACAACATGTACAACTATCATTGAATGATTAGCCAACTGCCAACATTTTTAATTAATTAATTTAAACACAAGCATTGGTACAATGAGGCAACAAATAGGTATGTGCCACATAAAGCATTCTATTTGTGTGAAAACTGGCATACACCATTTGTTCCTTCAGGATACTGGAGCCCATGTACACAATTGGTTTGAAATCAGGGTTTCTCAACTCCATTAGGTGGACTCACTGTGTCCACCGGCCCGGTTAAAGCGCCGGACATTCGCTTTTCGTCCTCTCAGTTTCATGAACAACAGTAATGCCTCGAGAAGGCAGTGAGTAGGACTTCCCTGTCATTGGCTGTATGCATGTGTCCATGTGAGAGCATTTCGAGAGGGAGAGCTGACTCCCCCCACTCTCGTCCGTACCAGGGGATTTGGGAGCCCAACATTTTCAATCTATAATTATAATAAACAATTCTGCATTGTATATACAATCTCCTGTTCGTTGTTAGGTCCAAATATTTAAAAATAAACACTTTACATGATATATAATAGATATATCATTCTACCGCAAAATCCGTTTTATTCATCAGTGAAGTGTATTAATTTGTGTAAATCCGTACACAATATTGTTTGATATTATTTCTATGTAATTAGTATAAAGAAATATTGGTGATCGATATTTCTCCCTAAAATGTTACTTGTTTCATTTCAATTCTTTCAAAAGTTGGCAGGATAGAAAAGCAACTCGAACCACATGAACGTCTTTTTTTCTTTTTTGGAACGCCTACGTTTATGCATTTATTTATTCCTTCAAAGTAGCATATCCTCCAATTGTTTTAGTCTATAGTATACAGAAAACTGAATGTATAGTTGTCTATCATCGATCTATTCATACTGTCCAAATAAAACTATTTGAATAATTTACATGTGCTACTACGACTGTAATCACCACTTCTAGCCTGATTTAGTCAGTGCTTTTTTTAAAAGATAATTTCATCATTTTAACTAAGCAAATTACCATAATGATTTTTAGAATTTATCTTCCAGTTATGTTTGTAACAATGTCGAATACATCAACTATTCATCTAAGTATAGTTTGTATCTAGAATGTTAAATAATTTATCATAAAGGGTAGTATGTTTCAAGTATACCCCAAATGTCCTGGTACGACCAAGAGTGGGGAGGGCCTGCTCTCCCTCTCGAAATGCTCTCACACGACCACGCGTATACAGCCTCTTCCAGAGATGTCCTACTCACTGCTTTCTCACGGCATTACTGTTGTTTACGAAATTGAGAGGACGAAAAGCGAATGCCCAGCACTTTAACCGGGCCGGTAGACACGGAGAGTCCACCTAGGGGAGTTGAAGAACCCTGATTCCAAACCAATCGTGCACATGGGCTCCAGTATCCTGAAGGAACAAATGGTGTATGAACTAATTGTTGGTCAGCCGCTACTATGGGTCTGCATCTCCTTACGTTACTCCACTGCCTTGTGAATTATACCTTTAGGTCGAAGGCTCCGGGTGTGGCCTCCTAAGAAAACCACATGCTTCGGTTCGGGTACTCAGGCAGTATCATAGCCCGCACACAAATAAAATGAAATGACATTATTTACTAAAAATACTGTTCTTGTTCCAATTAAAATCCAGACAACTCATCCATTTGACAACATTCATTTTTATTTTTATTTTATATACTACGTCACTGTCTTTTATTCCCAATTTGTATATCCTTATCTTTCAACTTATAGAGAAGCTTGCCTGTGATGGAAACTCTGTTCTATCTATTGTGTGGCGCATATATATCTGGTTCCCCCTTGTACCAATATTTATGTGTTCAAATAAATAAACAAATAAATAACTAAATACTATTTGGGAATAAACTTGGTAGATTCGGGGGCATAATTGCAGTTGATATTGTTTGGAGTAATCAAAAAACGTCTTCCGAAAACGTAACAATGTCGGAAACCATTCCGTCTATTCAACATCCAACGAGAACATCCTAGAATCTTGTGGGAAAACGGTGGATTATGTGTCACACTGTGATTGAGTAACTATCTATTTTGTTACCAAATTCAGCACGTTTCCAAAATTTAAAGGTTATCCGTGAACATATGGATACCATTATTCTCTGTACGTAAATTAACCTTGAAATAAAGCTTCTGTTCTCCGCTGTTCGGGGCTCAAGTATAGAGTAATTCTGAGGATCAAGGAAGCGGCTAGAAAGTTATTATCAAGAGTTTGAGTACTAAACTTATCAGATATAAGTTTTTAATACTCCTGAATCTGAATGAATGTATTGGTAATGAAACATTAGCAAACTTAATTGTGAATTTGCTATTAACTAAAATGGTAATAATATGTTTCCGTAAGTATTATGATGCCATCTACACTAATACACTACATGTGTTCTAGCTGTTGTAAACCACCGGAAGTAAATTATCAATAAATCTGTCAAGTCATTTTACTTAACTTGAAGATTTCATTAACCCAGATGAATTGGCGGCTGACGAAATGTTGGTACAGACATAAAAATCTCACTTGTTTTTTTTTTGCCTGAAACTTCACCAGATAAGGTGGTTAGAATACACGTTATGCACGCTCGATCATTCCCCATCCTAGATAGCTTAGCGGTAACTTCTGGTTGTAATAATAAATTGAAACTCATAGAGAGTAAGGTACATTCCAAAGGTCTAGGTGGACCTTCCAGACATAAGCTAATTAGCACGAAAAGTGGGCTCAATTACTGAGACTTCCTACTAATAGCCAACAATTATGAAACTTTCAAACTATTTATTATACGTAGCATTTATTAATTATACATTTATTGATCCATCCCTACAGCTTTCTGAACTTCCCTATCCTTCATTTATGTCGAAGAAACTAAGTGATGTCAATGTTGGCTCAATGACAAATGTATGTGTAGTTAATCAAAATTGTCCTGTTCATAAAGCTTTACAATATTTCATTGAGTATGGTGTCTCAGCGTTGCCTGTTGTCGATCAAGATGGTCAATTAATTGATATTTATGCAAAATTTGATGTAATTGTAAGTTTTTTTAAAAAAGAATTATATTTTATTTAACTGTTAGTGCTGATTGAATTCTTTCAATCAAGTGTGTAATGCTATCATAAGTTCACTGTTAGGAACCGTTGAGAATTCCTTTGAAAACCCTATTAAAGCCTGAAAAACGCCAAGAAGTTTTTCGACCAGTATACTCTTTTTCTAAACTTCTAAAATACATATAGGAATTTACTGACTCTGTTCCTTTTATCGTGATTATAGACTTGATATCTCTGTTTTTCTAACGACTTGGGCTTATTTTTGAAAGGTTATAGAATTTTAACATCACTTGTATTCCTATAAACACCCATGGTTCCTATACATAAACTAACTATCGAAGTTAAGCTCCTTCGTATACTTCACGTATTTTGTTTTCCCTTTTAGGTTTCAGGAGTAGAAACGACTTATGTGAACTAGGATGCAACTAAGTAATCTCTGTGTATCTAAGCATTCAAATAGAAAACGTATCACAAAGGGATTTAACATCGGGTTCTAACTTCATATTTAATGTTAGATGGTGTTTGGCAATCAACAACTGTGAACCTATGTTCCTCGCTGATTACTATTTTCGTTAGTATGGGCTATATCACCGCAATGTCGATTCACATAGTTAAGTGGTTACATCGCATGAGTTATTGATAGAATACAATCAGTCACCTCGAATATTTAATGCGTAATTGATTCTCACTTAATCAGCGATTCATGTTAATATCTCAGTTCTACTGGGAATCGATCGCTACCTGAGTAGCTCAGTTATAATGTCTCTGATTGTTTAGTTAGGTGATGATGTACACGTTCATTGCCAACTAGTGTAAACCAGCCTGGACATCTAACTTGGGATGAACTAATATGGATAGTCACTTATCCTGGTAGTTTGCATCATCAACTGCTAACCGTTGAAACTCAAGATTCACTGGACAAGTGTTTGGTTCTAGTTGAAGAACTCAACAGTGCAAATCTACAACTCCACGGAGGACCAAATACAAGAACATATCTCACAATGAGTTATCTATCATCCATCGATTTACACTTCTAATCACAATCAATGTACGATATTATTCAATCATATTGGGATATAATTGGTGGGTAACTCTTCTGATCATAACTTCTCATTAAGACTCCTGAATCTATTCCCCGAAACTATTCACTCGTTAGCATATGATTATTATTAGTATTGGGGGTTTGTGGAGATTATTAAACTTAATAGTTCACATCACAGACTGATCTGAGTTGAAAAATCATTTGAAACTAGAATTTAGTGGACAGTTGTTTTTTTCTACTATGAGATTCCTCAGATTTCCCCACTTATTACCCGCATGAGAATCGAACCCTGAATTTCCAGATCTCGTGGCGAACACTTAAACATTAATTTAGATGATCCATAAATATCTATTTCATATTAACTAAGTGCTATAACTGAAAAATAAATGCTGCTGATTAAGTGGGTAGCGAACTATTGATCGGACCATAGACGCACAAACACGTAGAACGACCTAGGGTTCTGATTGGCCCCGCTTTCCTGTCTAGCCCAGTCAGTTGAGTCCAGAACGCAAGTCACAGCCTCTGAGTTATGAATCATTATATTTCAAACATACTTTGTTTATATACCAGTCAAGCAAACCACAACGTACCACAATATAGAAAATAACATTGTACAATATTGACCAACAGGAGAATAGCACGTTAAATAAATATTGACCAATAAGATGATACCATTTCATGTCCAAGGATAGCATTAGGCTTAACAGGATAATTTTTGGGATATTTCCCTGAATATCCCAACACTAAGATTGTGTATTCAACATTGATTTACATCGAGATGAGTTCCTAAAATTTTTATGGAGTTTTGTTCTCTGAGCTGGATGGTTTGATCGTGGAGCTCTCATCTTTATTCTGAACGACATCATCAGCACAAACTTCAGGTAGACGTGTTCGAATTTCTCCACATATAATTTACAGCTTGTCCTGTCGACCTCGATGTTGATTGTTTCTTGTTAACCTTAAGCATTTCACTGTTTACTTTATTTTGGTTGTATCTTCCATTGGTTTGATTTTTGGTCCTATATTGGTGCATAATTTTTCTGATTGGATGATAAATTGGATCGATTTCAATGTGTTTGTTGATTGCTGATTGATCTGAGTATCAAGCTTTACAAAATTCTCCGGTGTTTTTAGAATTGCCTCTATCCAAGATCTCAACATGTTTCCGGTCGAACATATGTCCACAGTTGTCCACATGCATTGATATAAGTGAGGATATGTCATGGCGTTTGACCAGCTAATTGATGTGTCATGCAGGCGGAGATGAAGAGGGCATCCGCTTTGTCGATGTAATGTTTTTCGCAGTTGGCACAATTCATTGTCGGACTCCGATAAGCATGTCTGTGTTCTAAGATCTGACAAATGGTGAATATGTGGTCAACGCAGCCACGACCATATCTGAAGCCAGCTTGATTCTCTCGTGTTTGCAGTTCACGAGTCTTAGTTAGGCGTTCGATAATTATCGAGGCTAGTATTTTAGATACCATGTTAGTTAAATTAATCCCTCTATGGATGATTTTAACCCTCTCTTATATATTGGAACGATGAGTGATTGTGATCAGTCAGATGGAATGACGTCTAATTTTCAGATCTTGGCTAAAGTATTAGTCAACCTAATCGCTAAAATTGGACCACCATCCTTAAAGACCTCTGGAGTCAATCCATCTGGACCAGATGCTCTTCTTCATTCCAGACTAGCTATAGCTTTTTGAACTTCAATTAGAGTCGAGGGACCTACTTCAATATTCCATTCAGGCTGTTTGGTATTGGTGGGTAGTTGTAGAGTAGCTGAAGACCAGTTGGTCTGCTCCTTAAAGTATTCCGCCCATCGTTCTAAACGTCCGGACTGGGAGCAGATAAGTGTCGTCTTTTTTCGAGATCGTCTCACTTACACTTCTTAACTGCAGTGTCTTCTATTAGTCTGAAAAGTTGTCTTTTGTTACCTACCACATAAACAATCATAGGTCTTAAAACATTCTGGTCGGACTCAATTGCTATAATAGCTATGAGCATATAAACATCCCGACCGTTGTTGCTACCTTGACGTGGCGGTCGGGCTTGCCTATCGTGATGAAGCAACCGAGCTATACTGGTTGGAACAACCGTTCCTCAAGGTCCTACCATATCAGACAGGTCGGTTGAAGAGCGATAAGACTAAAAGCAACAAACCCAAGGTCCGAAGGCGAAGTCGTACTGCTGACTGTACAGAGGTGTGACAGCAGTAAGGTGTTTCCTTCAGACAACCAGCATGACAGCGATGCTGCCTTCTCACAAGGAGGGGTGATAGAAAAGGTCGACCCTAAAAATGCACACCCCGGCTTATCCCACGGATATCCGTCCCCGGCGGTAAGGTTTCAACAAGTACAGAGCCAACACAAAAATCACTCATAAAAAGTTCGTGTGTGACCGATCTCAAGCAGTTGACTCTTGGGCACTGTGGTGTCACGCTCTCGGGTCACTAAGACTAGCCCTAACCCAATTTTCTTTTCAGGTACCTCCAGAAGAACCCTTCCACGGTGTGGGCAACCGGGAAGTGATAACCGCCCTCATACCTCTAACAGCACTCAAGACCATTGTATATCAGTGTTTTTCAGTATTTTTCTTCTCTTTTGTGTAAAGGAAACTTGTTGAAATACCTTGTGCTGAGAATTTCATAGTATGCCTAATTTGTAGTATTGAATAAAGTCATTAATAATAGTAATAATGCTATGATTAGTATCAATATATTCGTGTACTCAGCTTTAAGGTCAAGTACCTTTTTGCTGGGATATATGAAGTAAAGTTTGAAAGTGTAGTTCCAATATCAATTCATCACTTACAACTTAACTCTGAAACTTTTTATTCTATTGCTAACCTCTATTCCTGTTACCTTTTTATGATTGATAAATTCAATATTGTGTTATGCGTGTGTGTGTTTGTTGTGTACACTTTTAGAATTTGGCAGCGACACGAACGTATCAAAATTTGGATATTAGTGTATATGAAGCTTTGGATTATCGACGTGGAGTGAGTAGATATTTCATTATTATTATTATTATTATCACTATAATCATCATTATCGTTTGTGTTTTTATTTGATGGAATGTTCTTCATTTTATTATGAAAATATTAGTTGGTAGATTTATACTACTTATTAGTAACCATTAAATATAAAGATCTTTAGAACATTAAATTAGTTGTAGTTCATGAAATAGCCTTGTCGTCGTTGTTGTTGTTGAAATCCCTGTTTATTAATCAAAATTCACTGATATATTGTCTCTGCCTGAGGAAAACAATCATGTGCCTTTTTTCGCAGATCTCACTTTTTCACTTGACTCGTTCATCAATAGGTGCTGTAATGGTGGTTGTCTTATTTACATATACTTACATTCTGTACAGTTAGGCATAATTGTGGCTAATTTTTTTTCAAAACAACCACATAATTCATAATGAAAATCGAAGAGGAATGAAATGAAAAACAACCTAAAATAATTGACATAGAAGAAGGAGAAAGCTGTGGCCGGAGATGAACTGAAGAAAGAATCCCATCTGTTTATAACAGAATGAAACAGATAGTATTATATGATGATTTCAGTTGTCCTATGAATCAGAGGCGAATATTCACATTCTTTTGAAAAAACTAAAAGTGACTAGTTAGCGAATGTTTTATTTATCTTCTATCTGGTAGTTTCGCCAAGCTTTCAAGGCTTTTTCAGAACTACAGGCAATCCAACTGAGTTCAATGGACAATAGCTTTTCATGGTTGTAACAAAATAAATTACTTTACAGCCTAATAGAGTCCTTATAAACATTTGAGTCGCTTATCTCTATTGGTAAAATGAAAAATATTGTTTTGTTTTCGTTTACCAGGTTTTTTAGAAATGATACGACTTAAATAATTAATAGAATAATGTCTTCAATCACTTTTTACTATTATGCAAAACTTAAGTTCTGAGTGGATGACGATAAATATAACTTAAACATTCTTAGATATTCTATCAAGATGTTTACATATCCTGCAATTCGCAACTCTGTATTGTGTTTGGAAGGTTTTGCCTCAATCTGGTCATCTTTCTAGTGTAATATGAACTTGTTAAGTTTTGTGGTTAAAGAGCTTTAGACTTTTGACCACTAAATCCCAGCGCCGAACATTACTCCACCTATTTCGGTTCAGGCACCGAGGTGATACTGCCCGGTTGCCCGGACCGAAGCAGGTGGTTATCTTAGGGGACCACACCTGAAGCCTTTGACCTGAAGGTGTGATTCAAAAGGCAGTGGAGTAACGTCAGGAGATGCATTCTCATGGTAGCCGGTGACCAATAATTGTTTCATACTCCATTTGTTCCCTCATGATCCTGGAGCCCATGTGCACCATTGGTTTGAGGGTCCTAATGTGAATAAATTCATGACATTTGGTATGAGCTAACTTCTTTGGCTGATAGCTAACAGCAGAATCCAAAACACATTTCACCTTTTTTTGGTACTCAATAGCTACTTGCGTAATGAACGAAGACTTGAGTGGTACAAGCCAACTTATTATGTCGCACAAAATCACACACTGCATTTGTAAAATGTGAAAACAATATGTTTACCATATTATTTAGACTTCTTCCTTGAATTGTCTCTTATCAACTCCATCGTTCTTCTATTCCTGTTGCTTCTCCGACCGTTTCTGTTTTTCTTTCTCTTCGCCTCATTTTCCTTTTCTGTCAGTAAACTTAGTTTTCAACTTTTATATTTGCCACAAAAATGTCTTCTGGTATTTTTGACTGGGAACCTATTAATCTTGATAACGCCCCAGCTTGCCCAAAATCTGTAGTGGACTGATACTTGATCATGAAATCGTAACGCAGTGTTGTTGCCCATCGTTGTAGTCGATTAGCCGTGTGAACAGGAATCTCTTTTTTCAACCCAAATACGGCAATTAATGGCTTATGGTCTGTTATCAGAGTGAAATGCCGACCAACTATCATCTTGTGGAACTTTTTTACTGCAGAGATAATTGATAGAGCTTCTTTCTCAATCTGACTATAGTTTCGTTCTGTCGTCAATGCTCTGGCAGCATGGGAGATTACCTTTTCAGACCCATCAGGTAAAATGTGAGAAATGATTGCTCCAATACCATAGTCCGAAGCATCTGAAGCAACCACTGTACTGTGTCATTAAATGATTGGAAGCTAGGAGCTGGACTGATGAGATGTTCTAGTTTGGACACTCATAACTCTTCCAATCTACTGCCACGTCACTTCACACTGTATGTTGTTTGAGGAAATGTAATACATGTCCTAACCTTATCAATTACTTCTTTCTACACGACCCAGTATATTGTGACAAGATAAGTACTGATTCAGCGTTATAATCCAATATTATCCAGTCGTTGATTTCATCATATTTATCTTATTCTGTCTAATTCTGAATTAGTTGAATGAACCATTCAATTTATCAAACCATGTGTATTGTTTTAAGGAATACAATTACAGTATCATGGCTTCCTAACTTCATTATGTCTCTTTATTATAGTATCTGATTTTTTTCATCTATAGATTGAGAATAGCTCAGTGATTTAGATTACATATGTGGAACTCTCTCTCTCCCTCTCTCTACCTACCTAATGTTCAATTTTACTTTGTTCAACTGAATCTAAACAAACAATCATGAATCGATTTAATTCACATTTGTTTTATTGATAATGTATCTCAGATAGGCTGTTTTCTCTATTTCATATACATTGGCTTTACTTAATTACTCTCTCTCTCTCTCTCTCTCTCTCCTCAAATCGATTTTTCTACTTCATGTCCGTCCCTATTTCTCACTTTGTGTGTGTGTGTGTGTATGTATATGAGTACAATGGTGTTTTCTCAGTCAAAGTAAATTTCTTTTGACCAAAGAATTAGTTTATAGGGAATGTAATTTATAGAATAAGTTAAATACCTTGCCGTATTCATTGATTAAATAAGACAATTTATCGATTAGGGTGTTCTTTCTGTTCTTTTCTAATTCGATTTAAATCACATTGATCGAAATGAGTCTATTCAGTAAGATACAATGAACAATAGATGTAGTGAGATTGTGAATTCTTTGAGCGACGTTTTTTTTTAAGGAAAAACACGTAGACGGCTAAAACTAACTTGAATTTCCCAAAATGATTATCAGTCAATCGCAACGTAGAACCTGGTACTCATATAATTCAGTTCACGTTGCCATATCTCATTAGCACAGAAAATTGGTATCATCTGATGAGATGATGAAAGCGTGATCTCTAAAAAGATATCTATAACAAAGGTAATTAAAATTGAGACAGCGAACAACCGTGACGAATACCACTTGAAGTAACCGATTCCTATGACAGTTCTCCAGAAGCTCGGACTTGACCATTAGTTGAGCGACCAAAACCAATCAGATGGGATTATGCCCAGTCCCCAGATTTCAGTTAACCTAACTGCTGAAACTGGACCATACTTACTTATTTATGCTTGTCACCCCTCGTGGAGGAGCATAGTCCGCCCACCAGCATTCTCCATCGTATTCTTGACCACTATTCTTAAAAATACCGAAAGTTAGCTCATCAGGTACAACCACTCTCCTCCGCTTATAACTATTTCAACCTCACTAGGAGTTGGAGGACATACATCGATTTGCCATTCAGGTTGTCTGGAGATAGCGAATAATTGAAATGTGACTAAAGTGCAGATGCATTCAATGTCTTTCTTCCCCTCGATCTTGAACCTCAGTATACTTAAATATATATATCTTTCTGTCCTGTATTTTCGAATCGTATTCCTTTTATTTTCATCGCTACTACATTATTTCAATGTTATTTACGAATCGTCTTGCTATTTTTACTTCATTGTGTTAAAATGATCATGTGACAAATTAGGTGGATACATATATGTTCCAATCCTAAATTTGGGGAACTTTTATTCTATTTTCAAGAAACACCCCCTCATGTCATATGACTGTACTTACTTACTGGTTAGCGTATTAGTTAGTTTTCTACAAGATTAAGTCGCTAACCCCATGCCCAACTCTCCTCCTTCATCTGGACATGGGATTGACAGTAACCCCAGAGGGGTTCCAGGCTGAATGATTCTTTGTAATTTAAATAAATACTCATTATTATTATTATTTCGTTCAATTTGATAGTTAATAATACTGTTTCAAGTGTTCTAACTAATGTCAACTATACTAAAAGTTAATTAATTAAATAATCTTTCTATTATATATTACCACCTCTGAATCAACTGGTTTTATGAATTCGGTGTCCATCTTGTTGTGTTAATGAGGTATGGCAACTTGGACCGATGCATGTATGTGCGCCTGGTCCTACGTTGTAACTGACTGACTGACTGACAGTTAAATAATAAAAAGAGAAAAGTGTATGGAGAAAATAAGATTAATTCATTTGATACAATATGAACATGTTTTAACATTTAGCTTAAGATTGTATCAATGAGATTGTACAGTATTACTGAATAAATTCACTATTAGTAGTAGTATTGTGTTATTCATAATATATTTTCTGTTTTCCATAAGACCATTATATTATAATGTCCTTCTCTTAAGGTTTTTTTCTTATTTATTAATGTGGGTTGTAAAATTAAATAAGGGTAGATATTAGCATTGTATAGTGTGAACTCTCGGTTACGCCCATATATATCTGTTAATTGAATCGTTGGGATTCATCGATCATTATCAATTGTTTTTCTTATCAAATTATTCATGTATTTTCTACAAATATTTTTGAAAGAAGTTCTACTTTCTAGTTGTAGAAATTCGATTTTGAAGAGGTAAATAATTTTCCTCAATTTTTATTGGACTGTAGTTATTAGTGAGGACTGGTAGCGTATTGATCATTGCATTTGTGCGTAGGCTGGATAGCTTAACGGATTTAAGGGTTTATGGGTTTAATCCACAAGGTATCATTAGGAAGATCCAGTCCAATAATAGTAATTACCGACCAGAGTAGGGTCGTACTCATTCAGGATGATGGAGTCTATCCACACCGTTGATTTGAAATCAAGCTTATCTTACTCCTGTAAGTGAACTCTCTTTATTCGTTGCCCCCAAATGCCCTGTTATGGCCGAGAGTGGGGTGGGCCCGCCCGCCTTCTCGAAATGCTCTTACACGGACACGCGTATACAGCCTCTGCCAGGGAAATCTTACTCACTGTCTTCTCGTGGCGGGGGTGTTGTTTACGAAATTGAGAAGACAAAAACCGGATTCCAAACCAAATCAATGGTGCACATGGGCTCCAGTATCCTGCGGGAATAAGTGGCGTACGAACCAATCGTTGGTCACCGGCTACCATGGGACTGCATCTCCTCACGATGCCTCACTGCCTTGCGGATCAGACCTTTAGGTCAAAGGCTCGGGGTGTTGCCCTCAGAGAAAACCACCTGATTCGGTCTGGGCACCCGGTCAGTATCACAGCCCTCACACGAATCTAATGATTTATGTGGAACATATCTACTTGGTGCCTCCTTGTACCAATGTTTATGTGTTTAAATAATAATTATTATCTTTCGTCAGCTCAGTTTAAGCACGAGTATTACGTTTTCGGTTCCTTCATTTCCGTTCAAATATCCCTACAGTTGAAGGTATTGAGTAGGACTTGCCTGATGAAGGCTATAAATACGCAATTGGGATACAGTAAGATTAATTGGCTTTTATCAATCTACACCAACTATGGCATACATGAAATTTCTGTCTCCTAGCTGCAGGGGTGGTGAATATACTGTATAGCATTTTACACAACATGACATTATAGCTTTGAAACATGACCTTTACAGGTAGAAAATATGTGTTCGCAAGTATTTCATCGTAGAAATATTTAAAGAATTGTTTACTTAACACGAAACATGAAGTATGTATTGTTCAAATTAAGCGTTGAAATTCAGAAGTCACTAAGAGCCATTGACTATTTCATCCACATCCACAAATTACACGAGTTTTTCGATCTTGACAATTATAATACCATTAAGTAAGAATTTAATTCGGTTCATATTATTAAGTTCTTAGTACCCCAATGAGATTATCATGCTTATCAAAAGGTATTAAGATATCATCAAATCGATTATAAATCCACAAGTCTAAAAAGGAAAAACCAGTTGTTCCCATCTTTTCTATTTTTCAGTAGGTATCCTCATGATAAAAATAAATACTTTCACTTAATGAACTCTAAGATGTATTTCATTATTAAAACAGGGATGATGAATTTGGCTAGAATCTACATACGTTTACTCTGTACATATCTCGTGTGTAGTGCAATCTGATATGCCAGATGACTGAAAAAGCACAACATTCGAATCTCTAATACTTATGGTGTCGGTTACTATGTTTAGCCCATATAACTTATTCCAGCCTCTGGACAGGCCAATTTATCCATTCTTTAGGAGTTACATTTTGACCTTGTTAATTATTTACTTATCAACCCTGACTGTTTTTATATGAGCGTATGTGAGTGTACACTTCTTAGCCTATTCATCAGATGTCTGTAGTGTATTTTTGTTTGACTATAAATATTGATTAAATGAAGTTGGCTCATACGCCTTCTTCACTACGCTCCCTTTCGTTTCGCTTCATTCACTGCGATCCTCAGATTATCTTTTCAGGTCAGCGATTATACAAAATACGCGTATTCAGAACGACATTCTTTTATTTGACTAAATTCCGTTATTCCCCAACACGAGTTTAGTCGATAATTTTATACGAGGATTGATGATATGCATATTATTGAGAGCATTCAGAAACGGTCCAACTAGAGTCACATCCCAGGCCACATACTTATCAAATGAATAAAAACAGTAATGGAAAATTTGGGGTGCGATATACTTTAGGGAACATTCTAAACCTTATGGGTAATTAGAGTTGTAAATATTAAGATTACATACTTATTATATCACATATAACAAGATATGATATTTCATAATTTATCGGTGAAATGTATTAATCATAAACATTTAGTGAAATTTTAATAGTTGAGATCATTAGTGAATTGAAGCTAGACCATCATGAGAAACCTGGAAGCACTGGGCGGCCGTTTGATCCTACTGTGGGACTCGTCAGCAGTGCGCATCCACGATCCTGCCTCTCAAGATTCAAACCTAGGACTTATCAGTCTTGCGCGCGAGCACTTAACCATTAAACCACTGAGCCAGCATCCAACAGTGTTAATGTCTAACTTGAACGAATACATGAAATTGATTGACACATCCACCATTGTCACCAATAAATTAATACCTCACAACAGACCCGGTTGTACTCCACTGATCACTACTTCTCACTAAAACTCCGAGAAATACCTCTTGGAAGTCGCGCGAGATCGATAGACCCTGGGTCCGAATCTCGCGAGGCGGGATCGTGGATGCGTACTGCTGAGGAGTCTCACAACAGGACGAAACGGCTGTCCAGTTCTTTCAGGTTTTCCATGGTGGTGGTCTAGCTTCAATTGACTCATGATCTCAACTATTAAAATTACTAATAATATCCACAAAACCCCTGCTGTGATTTAGTGAAATGTTATACATCATCAACTTTATACAACCTTATGTCTGTTGTATTATTTCATATTCAATCTTCTCTTTTTTTTAAGAAGAAAAGGTATTCTGTTCATTCATACACTAACATATACACATCATAATGATCACATCAATCATAGAAACTATTTTATATTCTTCTATTTATTAGTACAAATTGATTGTCTTTTCTATTCATTTGTATATATCGATTGATATGGATTGTTTCTAAGTGTCCTTTTCTTTGTTGTTGTTGTTATTCTCTTGTTTATTGAATTTTATGATTATGATTATGATTATTATTGAGTATTTGATTCATGTATAGTGATTAAATTGAATTGATTAATTGATCGATCGATTGATTGATTAGTTTATTGTTTTTTTTTGTATTTTCTGTTTTTGTGCTCAATGAAACTATTTTAATGTACATAGGTGTTCATTTATTTGCATGATCATATTTAACCTTTAAAATATTGAGTCGTTTCTAGATTTCCATATAAATAGTTTGTTTTTTTCTTTGTCGAATCCCACTAGAGTGATCATGGATGCACACTGCTGAGGAGTTCTACAATAAGACGAAACGGCCATCCAGTGCTTTTAAGTTTTTAGTAATGGTTTAACATTAATCGGTTTATGCTCTCAATAAAAAAAAGCATAATAATCTCCACAATCCCATACTGATAATATCTTCATTATTTCACTGGTTGAGATCATGAGCCAATTGAATCTAAACCACCATGGAAAACGTGGAAGCACTGGATGGCCGTTTCGTCCTAGTATAGGACTCCTCAGCAGTGCCCATCTACGACCCCCCCCGGGAGATTCGAACCCAGGACCTATCAGTTTCATTATTATTAAAACTCTTGACATGAATAAATATGAAAATACTTAGGGATAGAAATTTCAGTTTATGAACTTTCCAAGTGTATTTTTAGTTTGTTAATGTTTGAAATCGAAGAGCTGTCTCTTTTTTTAGTGTTCATCCATTTATTGGAAACCCAGTCCGTACTATTTAACCATGACTCTTCTACCTGACGTTTGTTGGGTCTTATATCCGATGCAATCAAAGTTGTCTTCAAGGTCATTTTACAGTCCTTGAAGGCAATCATTGCAGTATACTTTCACTTATTTATTAGCTTTGTTCAATATTCTATATTTGTAATAATATATTTCTCTTAGCACAAGGTATTTTAGCGAGTTTCCGTTTCTTATTATTTGATCAATCCTGACAATAAATAATGAATGGCCACCAGTTAGATGTTAGCAGTTCAAAAATTGACATCTGATTGATGTTCGTCCTCTTTAATACATGTTGGCAGCAACCACTATATCTCCAATTGTACGTTTTAGTGACTTGTACGGTGAAAGGTCGTAAACATTTCACAAACGCACCTGAATTGGTTATGCAATTAATTGACATAATGATCTGTTACAACAAACAAAGAAACAGATAACTTGTTAAAATATCTAGATGGCAGGAACAAGTAGCCCATATATTCAAGCAGGTCAACTTTTTTGTTTTTGATTGACCACTTCAGTCGATTCTGATCTATATCACTTAAGATCACAATCATCTCATGAACCCCAATCACATGATCTTCATCTCACAAATTTTAATTTGACTCCCTTTAACTTTCTTACAATTTACACCTACACGACCCACCATCGCGCATCGAAGAAGGCAATGGTGTTGAACCAATATAACACAGTTCAACTAGCAGTTTTTCTCAATGCATCTTCACATTTTTAAACTTAAAATAACTCAATTGTTTCCACGACGTCTTATCACACGTATACACATTTGAGGTTGGTTTCGACACAAGCACCACACACACACACAATACACTGAATCATTAAAAATACAACTAGTCTATACATTTTCCTTGTTTTAATTCCTAGTTTCTTATTTTTCTTATAATTTTTATATAGAAATTCCAAGGTGTTGCAACATGTCAACTAGACGATACTTTGGAAGTGATTGTGAATAGAATTGTTGACGCTGGCGTAAGTCAATACCCAGATTCTTAGTTTGTTTAACAATTAAATTATCATTGTTTGTTTGTTTGACAAAGTTATTGTACATATTAGTAAAATGTTAAATTTCTAAGTAAATAACTGGAATATGGCAATTGAATACACAATTACATTCCAGTACGTTTATGTTTATTTGTCGTTTCAGATAATGTAGCATTTCCTATTAGACTATTGAGTAAAGTTGTGTAACAGCTTGTACATTAAGCATATTTCTTATTGATATTTGGTAAGGTATGCCTTGAAATAGTTTGTGGTGAATGTCTCATCGTTATTATCTAAACTCCTTGATAATTTCAGATTACTGTGCTTAAATATATATACACTGTATATATATTGACCTCATGCATACTTATGATGTAGATCCTCCATTGATTATGACTAATCATCATTAATCAGTATTCAACGATGAGGAAAGTGATAGCTTTATAAACATATCTTTCTGAGTGTAGGGCATTTGTGGAGATTGTAGAATTTTCCTAGGTTCAATTACGAATCCATGTTCGTTGAACCACCATTGACTACGCTTAACATCTGAACTAGTAAGTAATAAGTCTTGTTGATTCAATGTTTGATACGATTTTCTAGCCGCTTCTAATAAAACCAGACTAAATCTACACGATAACCTAAACCAATCAATAATGTACATGTCTAACTTCATTCACTTTGCGATATCGTGCTTCCATTTCCCATTGTCGGCGGTGGATAACTGTCTTAGATCCGATGTGGTTGAACCCTACTGATTACAGCTTCTCACTAGGACTCCAGAAATTGCATCATCAAGCCAGTTACTAGTGGACACGTAATTATTATTAGCTTAATGGGTTTATGGAGAGTGTAGCTGGATAGATATATCCTTAGATGACAGCGCTTTAGTCTAAAATTTAAGTGATCACGAATGCTCACAGCTTTGTAACTTCACTATCATATACCATGACACTAGGGCATAGACGATAGAGTTTTCACTTTCTTTTTAACTGGCTCCATGTGATGTAGTAGTAACGAAAGTGTATATCCTAGAAACATGGGACCAAAATCGAAATAGTAGTGAACTCCATCACTATCTCTTTGTATATATGTATATCTTTTTACCACAATTTTTTTTTCTTCTTTTCAATTCATTTTTTCTTTCTCAGGTACATCGTTTAGTAGTTGTTAAGGATAACAAAGTATTAGGTATTGTTTCATTATCAGATATTTTACGTTTTTTAATTGCTGAACCAACTGTACAAAAGATCATTTCAAATTAATTCACATAAAAATGTAGTTGAACTTAGTTCTTCGTCTTATTCGCTTCTCATAATGTAGACATAATAGAATAATCTTTCTTCTTCTTCTCGTTTCTATGTGAAATACACAGACACACACGCACACACTTCTACATCTATCGGTATAGCAACATGTTTTCCCTTTCGTCGATTTTTTTGTAATTTTCAAATCTAGTCATTTAATAAAAATATTTATCTGACTAGTTGATTAATTATGTTTAGTTTCCTGATGTTTATTTATTCTTTTTTTGGCGGGGGGGGACAAACCCTATCATCTTAATATATATATATATTATATGTACACATATGAATTACTGATGTATATGCATTTGTTGTAATGAGGGGGGGGGATGTATGCATGTTTTGTAGGTGTTATAACATGCTCAACCGCTTTGATTTTTTTTCTTGTTGTTGTTGCTGTATGGTTTGAACCGATGCTTCTTCTATTTCATTTGCTCTAAATTTTTTTGTTTTTTCAAGTTAACTTTTATTCATTGTAAATTACTTGTAATTTCGATTTTTGTCTTCCTTTTTCTTCTTGTTAACAATACTACTTTAATAATAATAATAATAATAATAATAATAATAATAATAATAATAATAATAATAATAATAATAATGTTATATTCTAGAAAATGAACAATAGAATTCATATTTATTTTACCAAGATTATTCATTTGTTCCTAATTCCTGATCATAATAATAAGTTGGTGTACACTGTGGAGTCCCGTTATTTAATCGTCATTTAAATCGAACAATGTTGTCGAAAGGGTTCTCCACTTTAGTGGCCCGAGATCTGGCTTCAAGGAGATCGTAATGATGATTGTTACTGAAATATATATGTCGCCTATCCTCTTATATAATCATTGACTTAGATCGTGTTAGTCAGTAACGGAATTAAATAAGTCAAATAACGAGAATGAACTTTTGAATACATACATTTTGTATGTGAAGCGAATGGAATAGAGAGAAGAGGAACGACGTGCAGTGGAGATGGCTGGTAAGCCAACTTCCCTTTAACCAAGCGTTAATCAATATTTATAGTTACACAAAAGTAAGTTACAGACATGTGATGAGTAGTGAGATAAGAGGTCTACACACACTTACGCGCTCATATAAAAACCGTCAAGATTGATAAGCGAATCAATAACAAGGTCAGAATGTGACCCAAGTAGAATGAATAGAATGGGCTTTCCGAAACCTAGAATAAGGTATATGGGCTTAACATTAATAACCGACACTACAACACTTTCATATTAGTTTAAATTGAAGATTTTCAACTATATGATAAATCATGCTTAATATGAAGTGTATAGAAGTAAACATGAGAGCATTCCGTTTTTAATAATTGAGATCATGGGTCAATTGAAGCTAGATCACTATGGAAAACCTAGAAGCGCTGGACTGCCGTTTTGTCTTGGAAGGGTGCCTGAGAAGTTAATTAACATCCTAAAAGCCCTATATACAAACACCTCAGAGTGAGGGCATACAACCACCTCTTTCCATTGTTCCATTCGAGCAGTGGGGTTAGGCAGGGTTGCCCAATCTCACCATTCCTCTTCAAATTTGCCATCGATGACATTCTGGAAACAGCTCTGATGAATGTAAGTAATGGTGGTGTGGATCTGTTGCCTGGAGAAAGACTTCTCGACCTTGAGTATGCGGACGATATTGTCTTACTGTGCGACAACGCCCAAGCCATGCAATCCGCACTTAATCAGTTGGCAATCAGTGTCTGTAGGTATGGTATGTGCTTTGCACCTTCGAAATGCAAAGTACTTCTACAAGACTGACAAGATTCCAATCCTGTACTCACCCTGGATGGTGAGCAGATAGAAGTAGTCGAGAAGTTCGTGTATCTGGGTAGCTGCATAAGTGCTAGTGGGGGTGTGAGTGATGAGATCAATGCACGAATAGTGAAAGGCAGAGCAGCTTATGAATATGTTCTACGAATGTCGTCCCAGAGAATTCCACGTCGTGCATTATTTGCCGACTCTGGGACTGGTTGGAAGAAGCGGAGAGGTGGTCAGTGCATGACATGGTGTCGTGGCATGAAAGAAAGCTGCAAAGGACTGGCTTGTGTTGGTCCTTCACGACTCCCTGGTTGGGGTCCTAGAGATGGTGCTACACAGTGGCTAGAGACGTTATCAGATATGGCTCAGAATAGAAGCCAGTGGCGATCCTTCTGTAACCTTCTTTTACTTTCTTCATAAAAAGTGGTTGTGTCTTCCTTACCTGAAAGATTTCTTCTGATTGTACCTTTCCGTCCCCTCATTTCTACCATACTACTTTACACCAATCTCCTCGTTATTGTTCTCTTTTTTACGCTCCTTAGCTTTCTTTTCTATTTCTTTTCGAATTCTCATTGTTTTGTGTGGCGCATATATATTGGTGCTCTCTTGTACCAATATTTATGTGTTCAAATAAAAAAGATATCAAGTTGCCAACTCAGTGGTCTAGGGATGAAATGACCGTCCAGTGCTTCCAGGTTTTCCATGGTGTCTAGCTTCAATTGATTCATAATCTCAACTATTAAAATTACTATGATATTTACAAAATCCTTTCTGATAGTATTCAATTTGTTGAAGAAAACCCGATGTAATGATGAAACCGTGTAGTAGTTATCTTGAAGTACAACTGGGAATATATTGCTACATGTTCAGAAATTTAATGAATTTGACTACAAACTTGTCTTTTCTTTTTGATATTAAAAGGCAATACAGCTTTTTCAGGCTGAATTATTTTACCAGTAATCAAACTGAAGTCCCAGTGTTACAGGAAGAGTAAATCGATGACTTCCTTTGTTGCATAACAATAACTGTAGCATTCACTAGGTCCCAAGACATCAAAGACTTGTTTGCATATTTCTGTTTCACTGAAACGTTTTCTTCATTTGAATGACTGATTTGTACAAATTTTATAGTCGATTACAATAACTAAATATGGCCTGGTTATGGTTTGGACAACCAAGTAGAAACACGATATTCTGAGGTGGCGACTCAACGAGCCTTTGATTTAAACGTTTAATGCTCCATAGAGTAGAGCGCTGTCAACTAATCCAGTACCACAGGAGCCGGGGACCAAAGTAGGTTCATACATCGTTCGTCCGTTTAAGATTCTGAGGCCAATGTACGCTAGGTCGACTCTGCATCCAACCGGGTTTAAAGGTCAGACTCACTGCTTTATTCCTCTCACGTTCACAAAAAAACACTCGTCTAAAGACAATGGGACTTCCTTAACAGACTAAACGCGAAGATGCGTGGGAGCGTTTCCAAAAGGAGAGCGGATCTCGATTGTACTAGAGGATTTTGTAATGTCAAGCTCATTTTTTGAAAATGATTGAAATCAATGACTGACATCAGTTAATGAGTACTCAAAGGAACTTTTACTTAATTTGGAACTGTCCATCGTTAACAGTGTGTACCCACACTCTACAACCTTTCGTATCCTGCAGTGAGTTCCTTACATTGAAATTACCGACAAAGTGTTTCTCATGCTTACTTTATTCACTTTGCGATATAGTGCAATGTCATTAATGTCGGCCTGACTACTTCGATTTCGATATGGTCTAGCTCCTTCGTAACGAATCCTAATATTGTAGACTTCAGGGGTTGCGATGTTTTTCGTAAGTCAATCTAAATCAATGTAAGATCTAGCACAAAAGTGCCTTAGTCCAAGTTACCATATTACTTGCTTACGCCTGTTACTCCTCGTGGAGCGTAGGCCACCAACCAGGGTTCTCCAACCAAACTCTGTCCTGGGCTTCCCTTTCCAGTTGTCTCCAAGTCCTATTTATTCATTTGATGTCTGCCCCCAACTCACTGTGAAGTGAAGTGTTTGGTCTGCCTCAGCTTCTTGCCTTCAGGTCTCCTAGTTAGGGCTTGCTTCGTGATTCAGTCTGATTATTCCCAAAATGTATGACCTATCCAATTTCAACGTCTTTTCTTAATTTCCTCTTCAACTGGAAGCTTGTTTGTTCCCTGCTATCATAGGTTATTACTGATGATATCTGACCAACAGATATGGAGTATCTTGTGTAGAAAATTTATAAATACCTGTATCTGTATCTATTTGGTGATGGTTGTAGTAGTTCTCCAAGTTTCAGCTCCATACAATAAAAATGTCATAACATTTGTATTGAAGATTATGACTTTGACATTGACTGACAGTTGTTTTGAGTTCCACATGTTCCTCAATTATAGTAATTCAAACCTTGCCTTGCAAACCTATGCCTTCACACCTGCATCATATTCTCCTTGGTTATCAATGATGCTGTCCAATTACGTGAAACTTTCCACCTCTTCCAGAACCTGCCCATGAAGTGTAATTCGGTTGGTGTAACACACCATGATCTTGCTTTTTCTCGTATGTTTAGGCCTACTGTTGTAACAGTTACTGCTACACTGACTGTCTTTACCTGAATTTGTTGCTGTGTGTAGGATAGAAGAGCTAGGTCATCTGTAAAGTCTAAATCGTCTAGCCGCATCCAAATTGTCCATTGTATTCTGTGTTTTCCCTGAGATGTGGGAGTTTACATAATCCAGAAGAAAGAGAAAAAGTGAAAGTAGGGTTTTTCTCACTATATGCAGAGTCGGTCAGTAACAACGTAGAACTTCGTACGTATGTACATCAGTTCGAGTTGCCACACCACATTAGCATAGAGATGCAGTGATCGATTCGAATCCCGTAGTGGTAGAGGTAGCAAGAGTATAAGCAGCAATAGGGAAGATTGAGGTTTGGAGATGTTATTTACAGAGAATAATCCAGTGAAATAAATTTGGAAAGAGGAAAAAAGGAACACGGAGAATTCAGAAGATTAGAATTTGGGAGAACACAAAGAGTGGATGTACTTGCGCCATTGCAAACGATTTTGATCCATGTCATTCAGGGTCTCTAACCATCGGTTGCCATCATCTCGTGGTCCCCAACCAGGTAGTCTACACCTACCAACATGACTCAGTCCACTTGTCAGTGACTTCATGGACTTGTGCCATGTTTTGGTCTGGCCGCCTCTAGCTTTCTTCCAACCTACTCCTATACCACTGAACATAGCACGTCGAGGCAGTCGGTCGTTGGGCATACGTAACACGTGTCCCAGCCATCTCAACTCATGAAGTTTCACTACTTCAATTGATTTGCCATCCTTACCTAGTACCCGTTTCCTAACAACTGTGTTACTTACTCAATGGTCTCAAGATATACGAGCAATTCTTAGAAGACACTTATGATCAAATACTAGTAACCTACGGATATGCTCTACTCTTACCGGCCATGTTTCACTGTCATAAAGTAGGACGGAACGAACTGCTGCGTAGTAAACACGTCCTTTGGTTGATAGACGGATATCTCGCCTACGCCATAAATGACGCAAGTTGGCAAAAGCTAGTCGAGCCTTCTGTATCCGTGCTGAGATTTCATCACACACTAAACCACAAGGGCTGATGAGACTTCCAAGATAAGTGAAACGATCGACACACTCAACTACTTCACTCCCTATCACTAGTTCGGGTGTCCATGTAACTCAATCCTGAAGCAACATTTTGCATTTCGAGTGAGAGAATCGCATCCCGAACATGCTTGCATTGTTGCTTAGAGTGGTCAGAAGACTCTGCATTTTGTCAGCGTCTTCACTAAATAAAACTATGTCATCAGCATATTCTAAGTCAACAAGTGAACCTCCCGGTAGAAGTTCAACCCCTGTAAATTTAGATGAGGAGAGTGTTATCTCTAAAAGTACGTCAATGACAAAGTTGAACAAGAATGGGGAGAGTGGACAGCCCTGACGAACACCACTTGAGGTAATCAATTCTGATGACAGTTCGCCATAAGCTGTCACTCTACCAGTTTTGTTCGAGTAGAGAGCCTTTTTAAGGTTAATGTGTTTCTTTGGTACTCCTTCCAGTGACAAACACTGACATAGAACCTCACGATCAGCAGAGTCGAATGCCGCCTTAAGATCGAGAAACACTAGCTATGTGCAAATGTGTACTATAGTAACATTTCCACTTTAATATTGTATAAATAGAGTTGACACTATTGTGAAATAATTCAAATACAGGAGTTAATCCACCCAAAAAGAGTTACATACCATCTTCATCAAACAACTTACCAGTATCTTACTTATAATCAAGTATTTTGTTCTGAAAATCTAATAATGAAGTTATTTGTATACAATGGCATCTTCTAAACATTTTTATCTGTGTGATTCAGTTGAAACAATAAACTGTCATATATTAACAAAATTTTTCTAAGATACACCTAAGAACTGACAAAAAAAGCCTACTACTTATTTGGGCAGTATTGATTCATGAGTAGTATATAACTGGATCATTGAATGTTAACAATTCACCTATTGAATACTGCTGTGTAAAATCAAAAAGAATTTTACAACGATACTAAACGTCACAATTCACTTGGTATTGTCTTATTTGAATATTCCTATTGTTGTTTAAGGACTACAACTGATCAGTCTCTCATTGGCATATATACATAGAAAGATGGATAGTGAACTAGCAGTGGAATTCAGTTTGATGCGTATTTCGTCCTATTTAGGAACTCGTCAACTAGGTGTACCTGCATTTCAAAGTTGATATTTCCTTTAGGACTCGAACTCAGTATCGTTCGCATCAAACGTCATTGGCATTATTCACTTAGTTACTGAGTCCTGATATTAAGATTTGTTACTAAAGTTATTTATCATATAACCTTTATTTAACTTATAATTATATCACTGTCATTCAACAAAATATTGTATATATTGATCGTATTGAAATGAAAAGAAAAAAAAGAAAGAAACAATTTAACATCACAGTTACTAACCAATTTTTATTGACTTAGATTATTCTTCATACCAATCATAAATGTATCACGTGACTCAAGTATTTTACTTAGTTCAGATTTGGTTATTATCTAAATTCAATAAAATTGATAATTGAATTTCAACAAATCAATATATTTTGGTGCTTAAAAATGAATATCCGAAGATTGAGGAAATAGATTGATCAAGTTATTATTGAGAATATATTCAACGTTTTCTTGAATAAAGAAATGGGATATTCTAAAGTATTTCCCGACCGTTGTTGCTTCCTTGACGTCGTAGTCGGGCTTGCTGGCGTCTGCTGGGATCACCGAGTAAGTAATAGTGAAGTTAAACATGGGGTATTTGAGAATGATGGTAAATCAGTTGATGAGGTTGTCAATTTCCATCGACTGCGATGGTTTGGCCACGTGTTACGTATGCCTGAACACCGATTACCGCGACGCGCAATGCTAACTGGTGTTGAAGATGGTTGGAAGAAAGTTAGGGGTGGCCAAACCAAAAAGTGGCATCAGTCCTTGAAGTCACTAACTTCTAGTCTGAACCATGTTGGTAGATGCAGACTACTTGGTTGTGGTCCGTGTGACAATCGTAACCAATGGTTGGAGACTCTTGGTGACATGGCTCAGAGTCGATCACATTGGCGTAGGTGTATACATTCTCTGTCTTCGCTTAAACTATGAGACTAAAACTATTTATTTTTCTTTCTACGAACTTATTCTTTCTTCCTGTACTATATCCTTGTATGCAATCTTTCTTTTATATATTACCACCTCTGAATTAACTACTTTTATGAATCCAGTGTTTATATTGTTGTGCTTATGAGGTCTGGGAACTTGGATCAATGCATGTGTGTGTCTGGTCCTACGTTGTAACTGACTGATATTATAAGGAATTTAAACAACAGTATTTCCTGCAAAGTTAGTGGCTTCACTAAAAATCCTTATCAATTCAATATAGTAGAAGTATTAAAAATTCAATGTGAACAATCTATAAATTCGTATATATTGACATTTACAACTAATTGATCAATGGATATTTACCAATGTCATGTGTGTCAGATCCTTAGTTCAAATAAAATACTATTGATCTAGTTGAAATGTGACTACAAGCCTAGGTGACCCGAAATCGTATGTACTATATCGACTATCTCCAAACACCAACTTACATCTTAACATAGTGTAGGCAATGTGAAGTTATCTAGACTAGTGGCCATATTCCAACTTGATATGCACTGAGAAAGACCTACCACACATGACACTGATTACTAGTGATCAATCAATTGTAAATATAACTCAGTCCTACTAGAGGTCAGTTGCGGGTCGGATAGATCATTGGTAACGTCTGATTGTGATGCTAGGCGATACGAAACCCAATCCGCAAGGAGCATCAGTTCCCTCAAGGTTATAATTACACTTTGTTGACGAGTGCTAAACAGGACCGAACCTAGGTCTAGGGCTTCCATTCAACTACCCCCTAACCATCACCGTAAATTAATATCTTATATTATTCAGTACACTTATTAATGTATATATATCTTAATTCAGTAAACTATAGATCCAGAGATAATAATACCAAACTTTAAATAGGAATTCAAAAGAAAACGCCGAACAAAATCACAATTAATATGAACCATTCATATCGACTTCCAACTCCTTTGATGTTAGATTAGGTTAAGGAACACATGTCATTACACAATGTAATAAATGATTCCACGTTAAAACAAATGGTGTACAATTGGTCCACCAGCTAATTGTTAGTTTACTTTCTATCTGTTTATTTAACTAAGGTAGTTCTGTTATGCAAACATTTCAATTATTTAAGCTAGACAATTAAAAGCATGATAATAAGAAATTGAACAACTCGATATCATTGAAATCATGAACCGAACAATGTTAGATCACCATTGAAAACTTGAAAGAACTAGACAACCGTTTCGCTGTAGTATGGGATACCTTAACAATACGTATATCACATGACCACATATACGTAGGATTCAAACCAAGAATCTTTGATCTCGCATGCAAACGCTTAACTTCTAGACCATTGAGCTGACATTTTTAATGGTATGAATATTTAACTTAAACCAATCCAACATCATATTGCACAACCATCTTGATAACAGAAAGATGAAATAACAACGAAAATAATTAAATTATCACATTTTATTCTCTTATATTAACTGCTAGCAATAACACATAAGCGGTTTTATTATATGTGAACATTATACTTCGATTTCATGTGGAAAGAGAGATAGAACAAAACAGAATGGAAAACGTACACACAAAGAAAAAACACATAGAATAAAGCAATCAAAATAGATGTAAATATACGCATGTATAGTTCAACTAACAATTACAATCACTGATAATAGTGATGATGATGATGATGATAACAATAAGAATCAGGATAATATCAAGTGAGGCAACTGGAGAGAAAAAACCCAATCAACTTTGATCGATTCAAAAGAATCAATTAATGTAGAATTGATTGACACACACACACGCACGCACACAAAATAATTCACTGTCAATTATTTGTTATTGTCCATAGAAATACAACCTCCTGTATTGATGTTACCACGTACGGAATGTGTGTGTGTGTGTAAGAGTGTGTACAACAGATACACTTACATAACGTACGTGCACAAACTAAGAAAAGAAAGAAAGAAGAAATCGAAACAAAATATGATACATACACAGATGTGTTAGGTATGTTCATGTGAACATTTTAGAGATGGTTACTACTCAACACCATAGTAAATAATCATCTTAGTTTGATTGCCGTCAACACATCTTTATCAATTATTTCCTTTTAGTATTAATTCACAGTATATGTAAGTGTATGGCGCAGAAATGAACTTTTGTTTAATCATATAAGAAAATAACATTATTATTATTCACGTTCAGATTACTAATATTTATCAGTAGTAGTAGTAGTAGTAGTCGTACACAAAACCTTTTAATTGAATATTAACTTATAAAAGTAATAGAAGACGGAAAGTAAAGTTAATCATTCAACATGAAATAGATCATAATAATAATAATAAAATGAACAATCAAGAATAGGCACAATAAGCAAAGCAGAGTGCAATTGCACACGCAAATGCACACATCATCATAATAAAACAAAATAATATTACTACTACTAATAATAATAACAACACAGAGAATAGAGTCCACTCTATTGGTTGTCATCACTCAATCAGTAGTCATGGTTAATTTATCATAAATGACAAGCCAAAAAAAAGAAAACGAAACAAAACATTAATTCATTGAGTGAATGAAAAATAAGCAAGAAATATGAAAGAAATCGACTACCAAAAAAAAAACACACCGGGGATGAATATACATAAAATTTAAGGCCCATAGTGTAACTTATGTATGTGTGTATGTGTGTGTAAAAGAGATAATGTGCAGTGGTTATGATCAACAACAACAACAACAAAATAGAAACAATAATGATAGTTTGATAAGAGGAAACGAGTTACATATGTATATGTATATATTGTTGTACTTAAATACCATTACATAATGGATAGATCCCTTCATTATATATTCTCATGTATGCGAATTAGCTAATTGAATTCCTATCTTGTTCACAGTATTATATGCATCATATTAATGTATGTAAGCAGTGAATATATTCTTGATGTATATACCAAATGAATTCAAATGAATAACACACAGAGAAAGGTTAAACACAGATAAAAAGAATATCAGTAAGAATATATTTGAATCATGGTGCACCAAGAAGATCTGGTCGTACAACTGGTTGTGAATTAATTGGTACACCACCACCACCATGAGGATTGTTAATAGGAGCATGTCCTGCACGTATTGGTTTAGCTATTTGTGATTGACCACGACGTGCTGTAACATTACGTTGACGTACAACTTCTTTTATTCGTTCCACTTCAACTTGATAACGTTTACGATCACGCATAGCACCTTCTTTAGCTTCTTTCAATGATAATTCTAAACTACGTACACGTTCCAGGGTACTCTGGAAAAAAGTATTTAAAAAAAACTTTAATTAAAATTCTATATTTTATAATTACGTAATATATAAGTGCAAATATACGAATCATGGGGACAAGAGTTAACTGGTGAAACCTACCAAGACCTCAGCAAAAACTCCATCAGACAACAAAAAATAGCAGATCACAACACAGAACATAAACATGTTGAAGTCGAATACGAAAAAAGAGCAGTATTTAGAGGTTTTTTTCAATAGTTGATATTATTAAGACAATAATTGTAACTCGACTGCAGAAACGTTTGAACTTTATTCGTCACACCTTCCCACTACAAATTCAAAAACTGAGTCGATAATATTAGCGGAGACGTTGGACGTGTTGACCACCTAATTTTTCTTGAGTCTCATCCGTCCTGATGTTCGCGCGTTTGACGACATCTCGGTACGGATTCAGAAGGTTCGATAGGCTTTTACCAACTTGCATCACTTGTGACATGGGCAAGATATTCATCTGCCAAACTAAATACGAGTTCACTGTTCAGCATTTCACTTCACCCTACCTAACACGTGTGAAAAGTGACGATTAAAAATAAAGGATACTCGTGTGTTACTAGCATTCGATCATAGGTGTCTTCGGAGTATAGCTCGTGTATTTTGGAACCACAGAGTAGCCAATGTCTGGAGTAACAATGGAGTACTAAGTAAAGATGGCAAATCAATTGAATAAATGGTGAGTCTTCATCAACTGAGGTGGTTGGAACATGTGTTACGTATACACAACCACCGCCTACACCGACGGGAGATGTTTTCTACTGTATGAGTAGTATGCTATCAATCCATGAAGTCAGTTGAACTGAGTCTTATTAGCAGGTGTAGACTACCTGGTTGTTGTCCGCGTGATTATCGTAACCAATGGTTCGAAACGATTGAAAGTGTTCAAAATCGTTTGCAATGATGCAGGCGCATCCATGCACTATCCTCCTCCAGATTCTGAGTTTCTAAATTCCTCAGAACTTTTCTTGTTTTTATTCCACTAATTTATTATACTTCCTTCTCGAATATTTCCTAACACCACCGATACCGTTACTACCTTAACTATTCTGGGGTTTGGGCTCTGCGCGAACGGGATATGGCGACTTGGACTGATGTGCATACGCATCAGGTTCTATGTTGTGACTAAATGACCGTAAACAGGTGCACAAGCCATGAATGTTGTCAGAAATTCTACGCACATTACATAAATATATAGACACCATATGAAGATGTATGATTTTACGAAAAAAACAGGAATTATATACATCTACAAACTAACTAACCTTTAGACGTTTTTCCATCTTTGGTAATTCACAACGTAATTCTGCATTATCATGAACAAGTTGTTTATGTACTTTCGTTAATTTATCTAAATTATTTTCAAGGAATGCAATTTTTTCACGTTGTGCTAATGTACCAACTTGAATTGGTTCATCATCATCGTCATCATCCATAAGTAGACTTTCAGAGATTTGTTGTTGACCTGGTATACCACTACCAGCATTCAGTGTATTACCACCCTGGTTAGTATTATTAGTATTATTATTAGCAGTGGCTTTTTCAGCTGCAGTTAACGCATTTACACGATTAGCAGACTGAATAAGGTAGAAAAAGAAGGATTAGAAAAGTATTACCGCTGACGGAAACAGTGGGATTATTAAACAACAGATGAGATTTGTATTCACTGGGACAACACTGCAGTACTTACTAGATATAAAGTGTTAGCATACAGAAGAGTAATTAGAAAAGGGTGAAAATTCTAGAATTACTCTACGGGAAATTATATCTGTGTATTTACTAAATATTTAATATATGCTCACAACTTGAATCGGTGTAAACACTTACCAGGTTCTATGTTACATATAACTGACTGATATGGTAATTTCCTATATTGCCCTAATTGTAAAGATTCAATTGTCTTATGAACTACTGTCTAATGTTCAACCTCTCCTGAATTACCATCAATAATACGGAATAATTCGGTTGGTTATTTTCGATTTCACATTAGTCTTTGAGGATAGAAGCTGTGTCGACCGATTAGCGGCAGGATACCCAATCGTTGTATGTGGTTGAGTTCTAAATGATTAGCCTCAAACATTATAACTCTACATGAAGTGAGTGCTATAGTTGACATATTGTAATAACTTGAATGTTAATTTATTTAATTCGATAACAAAGTCATTGATAACGTGGAAAAGACTGACAAAAGTGAATACCTTGAGTTTTTACGCTTTTAGCTAATACAGCATTGATCATAGCTACAGCAATAAAAGCATTTCCCCAAGAAGTAAATTATGCGGAGAAAAATTGACTTATTCAATTCGTTCTGAAGTACTCAGTTTCAAGTAGACATACATTATGAAGTAGATAATCATGATGACCAGAATACAAGTATAAAATGATATTAGTGAGTCTAAATTTATGTCAAATATTGAAACCTTCGGACTGGTTGAAAGAGGAAATTATTGACTTTTTTTCATGGTTCATACAGACACCAAATTGTTATAAACCACCAAGGGAATGACGGGTTCAATTCATGCTACATAACATAATAACACAGAATATATAGATTATCATTTACAAAACACAAAAACAATGAGGAAACTCTAACCTTTTTAATTCGACAATTAAGATCTTGTATGAATAAACGTCGTAGATTATGCAATGTTTGTAATTCTTTAATAACAGTCTCTTCTAAACCGCGTAGATCTTCTTTTGCTTGTTCACGTTTTTCTGTAGTCTTCTCCAATGTTTCCAATCGTGTAGATTTATCTTCTAGTTCTTTACGTAAACGTGTAACTTCTTCTTGAGATTTTTCTGATTGGAATTTGAAATTATTTGCTTCACTATAAAATAACGAAGTTGGATAGGTGAGGAAGACAATAAAAACTAATGAAATGACAGTCTAGCATATCAATAAATATGAATAATGCCAAACAACGTAGTTTATCGTTAATAAATGAAGACTTGATGTTTCTTAAACAAACATAGATAAAAATAAGTCACCTAAGATTGAAATTTACATCACTGGTAGACCTTATTTAGACAAAATTCGGGAACTAGGAAGAACTGAACAGCTGTCTTCGCCTAGTATGAGATTCTGAAGCAATGATCATCTATAACCTCACGGGAAACCGAATCTAGGAATTTCAGGTTTAACAACAAACGCTTACTTACTTACGCCTGTTACTCCTCGTGGAGGAGCATACGCCGCCCACAACAAACGCTTGGCCTTAAAAAAACTTCACATACAAACGGGTATTATAAATCGATGCAAGCCTAAAATGATTGTGGATACAAATGTTTTCATTTCTTCTAAATAGTATTCAGGTCTACTTTCACCTTAATTCTAACAACAATTTTTATTATAGAAAACCATTCAAAATTCTTTTACAGGATGACTAACTTTAATCAATCAGTCAGTAACAACGTAGGACTTCATACGTACGTACGTACATCAGTTCAAGTTGCCATATCACAATTGCACAGAGATGCATTTGTCTATTCAAATCCCGTAGTGGTAGAGGTAGTAAGAGTATAAACAGTAATCGGAAAGATTAGGGTTTGAAGATGTTATTCAAGGAGTATAATCCAGTGAAACAAATTTGGAAAGAGGAAAAAAGAGACAAGGAGGATTCAGGAGATTAGAATTTAGAACACAATGAGTGGATGCACCTGCGTCATTGCAAACGATTTTCAGCCATGTCATTCAAGGTCTTTAAACATCGGTTGCTATAGTCTCGCGGATCCCAACCTGGTAGTCTACACGTACCAACATGGCACAATCCACTTGTCAGTGACTTCATGGATTTGTGCCATGTTTTGGTCTGGCCGCCACTAGCCTTCTTCCAACCTCCTATACCACTGAACATCGCACGTCGAGGCAGTCGGTAGTTGGGCATACGTAACACGTGTCCCAGCCATCTCAACTGATCAAGTTTCACCACTTCATCAATGGATTTGCCATCCTTACATAGTACCCGTTTCCTAACAACTGTGTTACTTATTCGATGGTCCCAGGATATACGAGCAATCCTTAGAAGACACTTATGATCAAATACTAGTAGCATACGAATATCCTTTACACTTACCGGTCATGTTTCACAGCCATAAAATAGGACGGAACGAACTGCTGCGCAGTAAACCCGTCCTTTGGTTGGTAGACGGATATCTCGCCTACGCCATAAATGACGCAAGTTGGCAAAGGCTAGTCGAGCCTTTTGTATCCGTGCTGAGATTTTGTCACACACACCAGACCACACGGGCTGATGAGACTTCCAAGATAAGTCAAGCGGTCAAGACGCTCAACTACTTCACTCCCTATCATTAGTTCGGGTGTCCATGCAACCCAATCCTGAAGCAAAATTTTGCATTTCGAGGGGGAGAATCGTATCTCGAAAAAGCTTGCATTGTTGCTAATAGTGACTAGCATGATAAATTGTCATAAACGCAACACTTTTCAGCTTCTCATGACTCTAACAACTTCAACTTGGTGTCAACTTGTTTTTTTCAGTCTTTTGTTATAATATATCAAAAATACTTAGAAATTTTAATGCCTTTGATATAGGATCCTTGGGAGACCAGTCATTTATGCACCCGTACACCAACTGATAAAAATTAAGAGGAACACTTCGTCACGATTGGTGACACTCAGTCATTGTTTTCATTTTCAGGTCGTCTCAGTGTGTTAGGACTCAATATTTTTTCATGAAAATTGAATGGTTTAATTAGTCACCGCGGTAATGTGAAAGAATTTATTACCTTACGCATGCCAAGTTACCGTCTACCTGACATGTTATATGGGGGCTGGTGCTTGACTACGACGGAAGAAATTTAGGGGCATTAGTGCTTTCCACCCATGAAACTAGAGACCATTGATTAATGTCTTGCTGGTAGGTATATACTTTCATATTGGCATACGGACGATAATTGTGACCAAAGAGTGTAGACTCAAGTTATCATAACTTATAATTAACTGAAGTCGCACAGGTGTATGGATTCTTTGATTGTTTTCACAAACACAGACACTGTTATACAGATACTACTGCTCTTTTACTATACACTGTGTTTATTTTATTCAGCCGTGCTAAATCTATACGAGCACATTGAACCGATAGATACATACGTATAAACCACTACGTCGATTTTGACTTATTCCAATCACTTTGGGAAAACCTCTCTCCTCCAACATCAAGTAAGTTATTTAGTTATAATCAATGTAGAGCCTGGCACAAATGAGCATCAACCCGAATTTCCACATCTGGTTAGTACGACTAGATAAAAGTAAAAAGATGAGTAACAAGGGTCAAAATAATTGTGGCATTAATGATAACGGGAATGTGGTTCGGAAGCATCGAGTGAAGGAATACTAGAATTCAAAGTCTAGAATGAACGCATCAAGCCCCATGGTGACTGTTTTTCAGCTATATTCCCCAACGTCTCCAACCACTGGTTGCGATTGTCGAGTGAATCCGTTTTACATAGGCTCCATCAACAGTCATGGTTCAAACCAGTAGTCATGACTTCATGAATTGATGACAAATTTTGGTTGGTTGCCATGAGGTTTCTTCCAACTTATTCCTCCTACAAATACTAACAACTCCTGTCAAATGTTGACAGTAGTTAGGCATATGTCACATATGTCCTAAGCATCAAAGTCAACGAACATTCACTACCTCAACAACCGATTTGGCATCTTTGTCTAACACCTAATCCTTAACCTTGATACTTATTCACTGGGTCATTTCAGAAAACGTAAACAATCCTTTAACCGTACCCATGATTGAAGATCTACAGTATATGTAATGTCATAAAAAAAATCGTCTTTAAAAAAGAAACTTACTCTTTATATTCTTCTAATTTTTTCTGTTTTTCATCTAATTCATCCCGTAAACTTTTCACTTGTGTAGCATAATGTTCCGATTGACGTTTAAATTCTTCATCTAATTTAGCACGTATAACTGATTGTCCAGATAGAATTTTTTCATTTTGTTCACCTGAACCAGACATAAATTGTTCATTTGCACGAAGTTTAGCTATTTCTGCATTCATATTATCAACAGTTTCTTGTAAATGACGTTTACGTGATTCCGATTCATCAATTTTATCTGTTAATGTAGCAATTTTTACTTCAAACTAAAATATGAGGTTTTTTCAGAAAGGAAAAAAAGTTAAACAAATTTATTGAAATCACATGTTACTAACACATTTTGCAATAGATTTGTTTCTAAGTGGTGCATAGACTAACACTTTCTAAACAAGAAATAATAAATGTAGACAGAAAATAAGGAGTTTTAATAGTTGTGATCATGAGTTCATTGAAGCTAGACCACAACTATAGAAAACTTGAAAGTATTGGGACAACTGTTTCGTCTTAAGTATGGGACTCCTCAGCAGTTGCGCATCCACCAAAAAATATGGAGTTAGACTAGGTAGATCAGATGTATTTAATCGATATCCTAGTTAATAACTTTTATTTCATGAATTATGAAGTTAAAAAAGGGGAATTAGTAATGGATGCTATAGAGATTATGAACCAATTTAAGTTAGATCAACAGTATTACTTACTTACTTACTTACGTCTGTTACTCCCAATGGATCATAGACCGCCGACTAGCATTCTCCAATCCACTCTGTCCTCGGCCTACCTTTCTAGTTCTACCCAATTCTTGTTCATTCTTCTCATGTCTATCTCCATTTCGCAGAGTAATGTGTTCTTTGGTCTTTCTCTTCACCCTCAGTGGCCTTGAGGTTTCCATGAGGGGCTTGCCCTATGACACACTTCGGTGCTTTTCTTAATGTGTGTCCTATCCACTTCCAGCACTTCTTCCTCCGCTGGAATTTGGATTGTTCTCTCCCACAGTAGGTTGTTGCTGATAGTTTCTGGTCAACGGATCCGAAGTATTTTGCGTAGACAGCTGTTGATAAACACTTGTATCTTCTGGATGATGGTTGTGGTAGTTTTCCAACTTTCCGCTCCATACAGTAGAATTGTCTTGACATTTGTATTGAAAATTGTGACTTTGGTGTTGGTTGACAGTTATTTTGAGTTCCAGATGTTCTTCAATTGTAGATATGCTGCTCTTGCTTTGCCAATCCGAGCCTTCACATCTGCATCAGATCCATCGTGTTCATCAATGATGCTGACCAGATATGTAAAGGTTTTTACATCTTCCAAATCTTCTTCGTCAAGTGTGATTCGATAGGTGTATGCTGTGTTGTATCGAGAATTTTGCTTTTCCTTTTATGTATGTTGAGACCTACTGCTACATTGGTCGTCTCCTGTTAACTGTCCTCCATGCACGATTTTGCAGTCTAATCCATTATAGGAATTCCCTATGGTATTGACCACCAGTATAAACCTGGTGATCTAACTTAGATCGATACATGATTTAAATGAAATTCAACAATCTCCAAAACACTTTACTGGAAATTGGTAAGGAGTTTTGTAATTTTCCGTTGTTGGTCTTTAGAACTGCAATTAATCAGTCTGTATCACCATATGTACGTCTTGGGTGGATTGCCATAATATAGCTATTTAGCCACTAATATCTACATAACCGTTGAATAAATTGGTAACTATCTGGACTCAGTAGCTAGATGGACAATGAAATGGCGTTTGGAGAGAAAGGTGCTGGGTTCGAGTTCCGTAGCAAACATCAACCCTAGGATGCACTTACAACCGACTGACGAGTCCCAAATAGGACGAAACGCGCGTCCTGAATTCCACTGCTAGCCATCATTCATCTTTATTTAAAATTAACTCTTAGGTTAAGTATGTTACTAATCGGTTGATTTTCAAAATAAAAAGATAATAAAATTGTATCCTCGAAGAACATCAATTTTATCAGTATTATTTTGAGTTAGTGAGATAATTTTGATGTTGCAGGTAAGAGGTCGTGAAAATGTTATGTTGATTCAATGGTATGTGATAACCATTTAATTTGATTGGTATTCTTGTAGAGATTAGTCTTTTTCTTTCTTTCTCTCCAACTTTCATACTGTTCACTCATTGTTCAAATGTCATCATTATGTATTAGTTGTTCGAATTACATTCATTCACTTATGAATGTACTAATAGTACAAGATTAAATTATTTACAATAAAAGATGGAACGATTGGTTCAGTAAGTATTTCTATTTACCTATTTGGTTGACTAATCAGAGATATAATTAATAGCAAGAATGAATTAATAATAATAATAATCAACAATGAACACAACATACAGCATGAATTCTTGTACGTAGATCTTTTGATTCATCATCACTTTTACGCATTAATTGTACATGTTGAACACGTTCTTCTTCTAATTGACGTACACGTGATTGTAATGATTTTGCTTCAGTTTTCATTTTACTTATATATAAACGAACTACAGTGAATTCTTCATCTAATCGTTCAGCGCCAACAGATGGTTTCTATTATGATATATGAAGACAAAAAAAATAATCAAAGAAAATCATCAGTGATGTAAACATTCCTTATTAATCAATACACAACTGTAAAAAAAACAACTTTATTATTGGTTTAATATTATCATGTTTTAAGATAGAAGATGTATCTACGTCCTAGTGTTAACTAAGTTAGAGATCCTGAATGATATGGCTCAAAATCGTTTGCAATGGCACAGGTGCATCCACTCTTTGTGTTCTCCCAAATTCTAATCTTCTGAATTCTTAATGTCCATTTTTTCTCTTTCCAAATTTATTTCACTGGATTATACTCCTTGAATAACATCTTCAAAACCTAATCTTTCCGATTACTGTTTATACTCTTACTACCTCTACTACTATGGGATTTGAATTGACAACTACATCTCTGTGTTAATGTAGTATGGCAACTCGAACTGATGTACGTACGTACGAAGTTCAAAGTTGTTACTGACTGACTGACCTAGTGTTAACATTTACATTGAAACTTGAGCCTCGTACCTTCCACTCTAAACGTTAAAATATTAACTTGAATAGCTCAGCGGATAAAGACATTCTACAATACTGAATATTTGAGACTCAAAATGGAACCATTAAAGAGTTAAATAACACTCTACCAACGTTTTAATTCAGATGTCATCCAAAAATTAGTTTTATCAGAAGATAATTTCTGCAGTAAAAGTACAATTCTTTTATCATTGTAATGTGGAAATTTAATAGTTGATATTTTAAAATTTTAAGTTATCAATATAACATGAGCTAAGTATTTATTTGAACTCATTCAAGGTTGGTGGATACGGAGGATCTACCTAGGGGGGTTGGAAAACCCTGATTCCAAACCAATGGTGCACATGGGCTCGAGTATCCTGAGGGAACACATGGCGTATGAACCAATTATTGGTCACCGGCTACCATGGAACTGCATCTCCTGACGTTGCTCCACTGTCTTGTGGATTAGACTTTCTGATCAAAGACGCCGGGTGTAGCCCCTAAGAAAACCACCTGCTTCGGTTTGGGCACCCGGAAGTATCCCAGTTCTCACACAGAAGATCAGCATGGCCCCTGCGCAAGGATGACACGCGAAATCGTGAAGCGTTTCATATTTTTTAGCCCCAGATGCCCTGGTATGATCGAGAGTGGGGAGAGTCCGCTCTACCTCTCGAAATGTTCTCACATGTCCACGCGTATATAGCCTGTCAGGGAAGCCCTACTCATTGCCTTCTCGTGGCATTACTGTTGTTTACGAAATTGAGAGGACGAAAAGCGAATGTCCGGCGCTTTAACCGGATCTCAAACGAATGATGCACATGGGCTCAAGGATCCTGAAGGATTAAATGGCGTTGGTCACCGGCTACCATGGGACTGCATTTCCTCACGATGCTCCATTGCCTTATGGGTCAGACCTTTAGGTTCAAGGCTCGGGTTGTGGCCCCCTAAGAAAACCACCTGCTTCAGTCTGGGCACCCGGGCAGTATCCCAGTCCTCACACAAATCGAATGATTTATGTGGCGCATATCTGTTCGGTGCCTTTTTGTACCAATGTTTGTGTTTAACTAAATAAATAATGTACATGAAGAAACCATTAAAAACAATAAACAGAATGAATCTTGATTGTTTTATCAATATGCGATTACTACTTATCACCAGTTGGGGGAGAAGTCTTTGTGTTTTAATAGTTTAAAGATCCCCGTCATATTAAAAAAAGACTAGTATTTGAACAAAGAATAGTCTTTTCAATAAATTCTTCACTTATCACAATCTTAAATTCACATGCTTTAAACGATGTATTTTGCTCTTAACCTGACCATTTTTCGGATTATTAATTTGGATATATGACTTGTAGAACCTGAAGAGAATTTATCGAAAAGAATATTCGTCGTTCAAATATTAGTCTTTTTTGTTTTCTTGCATATTGGATTTACTTCTTTTAATAATGTATACAATTACATTATTTATAATTCACCTTAACTAAAACTAAATGTATATTATGTATACATAAGCTTTCTTTCTCTCTCTTCCATAACAAACACCCACATAAGCACATATACAGAGAGAGAGATAGTAAATTAAGTGTACTAGAACTACTTTTTTTTCATTTTCAAGGTAGCATAGCAATGAAAGAGGGTGAAGACACTTACTGGTTGATTGATTAATTTATTGAAAGTAATCAAAACACATATCAAACTGATTTGTGTGAATCATTGAAGTGAATGAATTTTATATACGTGTGAAAATTGATTTCTTCTCATATGAACCACTTTTATGTCCAACGCTTTCTAATATATAATAGAGAATAGCTCTTATGACTTGATGTTCAAATACTCAAGGTTTTAAACTACAATATTCTTTTGAGTGTGAAAACTCTAGTGATAGACCTCAATTGCTTAAACTAAGATAGGTGAAATAGAGTCAGTCAGTTACAACGTAGGACCAGGCACAAAGTGCATCGGTTCAAGTTGCCACACCTCATTAGCACAACAAGATGAACACCAAATTCATAGAAGCAATTAACTCAATGGTATAATATATAAAGGAAAGATTCCATATAAGGATATAGTACAAGAAGAAAGATTTAGTTCGTAGAAAGAAAGATATAAAGCGATTTTAATCTCTTAGTTTAAGGGAAGACAGAGTGTATACACTGACGCCATTGTGATCGATTCTGTGCCATGTCACCCACAGTCTCCAACCATTGGTTACGATTGTTACACGGACTCCAACCAAGTAGTCTCCATCTACCAACATGGCTCAGACTAGAATTCAGTGACTTCAATGACTGTTGACACGTTTTGGTTTGGCCGCCCCTAATTTCCTTCTAGCCATCCCCAACACTAGTCAGCATTGCGTGTCGTAGTAATCGGTGTTCAGGCATACGCAACATGTGGTCCAACCATCTCAGTCAATAAAGATTCACAACCTCATCAACTGATTGGAATGTATAACTGCATGATTGAAAGTTGAATGTTTAATCATCACTAAGTTAGAATTACTCTAATAGTTAAATGTTCATGTAATATATTCCTTAAAAATAATGAAGGTATATGTAGCTTGAAAGTTATTGAAACAAAAATCTTTGGCAGTGGAATTTATATGCATAATGAATCGAAGATCGATCAAAAAAATTAAAAATAACAACTAAGTCAAAATCACAGAAATCATCGTTAACGTTGATCAATTTTCAGATTAAGTAAATAAACTTCGTTTCTATGAATGATATAAAGTGATTTATTAGTATTTCGACAGCATTTATTTGTTTTAAACTTGGATGGATACACAATTGTGCCATGAAGTCGTTAACTGTTAATCTGAGTTATCCTGCTGGATAAAAACTACATTAATTGAGGTGAGAGAAATCATCGTGATCCATGGTTGTAGATATTGGATGACATGGGTTAGAATCGATACTGATGACGTAGATGTATCTACTCTTTGTTGTCCCTTAAATTTTGAGTTTTAACAATATCTTACACTTACTTTCTATTTTGTGAATGAATTCATTCTTCTCAAATAATATTTACTATACCTAATCTTTTTTGTTATCATTGATATTACCACTCTGGTATTCATCTTGAACATGTCATGTTTGTGATAATTCGAACCAGGGCATATTTGTGCCAGATTCTACCTGACCACACTCATTGAATGACATTTAAAAGTATATATATATATATATATATATATATATATATATATATATATATATATATATATATATGTATAAATGTAAACCTACCGTCAATTGATCATTTAGACATTCACCAACATCAATTAAATCTTTTAATAAACTAGACATCATTTCAGTATATTTCTTCTTTTGATTTTGATGTGTATCTTTCAATTGAGATAATTCACCATCTTTACTATGCATTAATCTAGTCTGTTTTAATAAAGATTCTTGGACTTCTTCTAATTCTTTTGCTTTTGAAGCAATCTCTTGTGCTTTTTGATCATAATTCATAGCTAATTCTTCTAAAGCTTGTAAAACTTCTTTAACCTCTTCTTTACTCGATTGATATTCAGCCTGAAGATGGAAAAAAAGACGGAATAAGTGACTGATTAAAAAAGGGAAGGAAGAGAGTAAGGAACTAATAACACAAACAATCAACATCGGTCTCAATATTTCAATGATATTGTCTCAGACTGTGAAGCTGAATGACACAATTTCCTTTAAGAATCCGGGCACGCAATCTCTTCATGAAGTTACGTTCTCTGAGTTAGATGGTTTAATTTCCTACCTGAAGTTTGTGTTGATGGATTTTATTCAAAAGAACAATGAAAATTTCACGACTAAACAATCAAACTCAGAGAATGAAACTCTGCCAAAGTCATCTACCTGAGTTACAAATTTTCTGTAACATCTCGGGTACTCATTAATTGATGAGTCCCAGGTAGTACGAAATGCAAGTTGAATCAGAATTTCTAACCGACTACCTCTAACCATTTAAAATCAAAGCAATTACTCTTTAATAAAACTATGAGTATTTCTAACCACCAAGGGATTAAATCAAGGAAAAATCATATGTGAAGACTACGTCATCTCTCTTGAAATACCACTACTCTTAAACAACTATGTGGTATTGCTTCTTACAATTAAGTCATACATCTGCTCCTTTCAAGTAGTAAAGATGTTCTCGTAGAAGTGTGCAATAGTAAAAGTACAATATTCAATATTTAAACTGAACAAATACTAGATCTGGTTGTGAGAACTTAGGAAGCTATGTCAGTTTAAAATGATTAAGTCTCTTTACGCGAAATGGATACTTTCTTGTTTGGGTTTCACTACCATTTCCTATTCAATATTTTTTCTCAAATGTACGAACAACTGTTTATGCCATGAAAAAATGAGGTGTTCAAATCATAGTCACGAGTGAAAGCCAAGTAAATACAGCATGACAAGAATCAACCAAATTAAATAACTAAACCCTAAAATGTGTACAATATTAAAAAATTGATTTGTCAAATAAATGTACAAAGGAAACGAAAAAAATATTTTACTTGGAGGTTTGTGATCTCCTTCAGTTGACCTTCACGTTCTTTACGTAAAGTATTGATGATTTCGTCTTGTTCTTCAACTTGTTGTCGAAGACGAGCAATTGTTTGAGCTTGCTTATTAATTTCATCGTCTTTATCATCAAGTTGTTGATAAAGAAACTGTAGTTGTTCATCACCGACACCACCCGCGGTTGGACTGAGAGTATCACTAGGGGCAGCGACACGTGATGATGGAAATGAACCGGTGCGCGCTGTGAAAGTGACAATAACAATAGAAGGGTTAAGGTGGTTTAAGACACATGAGTATAACAATCTAAATAACACAAATACGAACATTTGAAAACTAACAATTTCAAAACATGAAGCATTCAATGGTTACAATCTGTAGGCAGTAAACTTGAATTCCAGTGTTGAAAGGAGATGACTCGAACTATAGCAAATTATCACTACCATTCAGTAGTCCTTTTTAAATAATACGTTGAAATAACGAAGTTGCAAAACTTTGGACCACAATGTAAGTTTTGTCGAAGTTGTGATCAATACTCAGTATAGACAATGTAATACCAATAATTACAAAATCTACAAATTGATCTTATTGTCAAGGTCAAATGAAACAGTATAAAATTGTCCATTATCCACTAACTGACTACAATTAACAACCAGATAGACAGTGGGACTAAGACTGGACGCTAACCATCTCATCCAACGTGATAATATAATTACTGGAGGGGATAGATTCAAAAAGCGATGATAAGTAACAATTAACAAACAAATAACCACCAATGATATCATAAATTGGGCTGCTAAGTATGTTAGGTGAAGTTCTACTGTACATAATGAATGTGTGTAGGTGGTGTATTGTATATTTCTCGTGTATAAAGAGTTAGCCCTAGCTATTCAGACGATAGTAAATGATGAAGAAGATGGTATAAATGTACAGCATTAATCCAAAATGTCATGCTTTCTAATCAATAATAGTAAGAAAGATTAGATGTTTTAAAACATACACTCTCTTAAAAAAGGGAATGAATGAATGAATGAAAAGGTTAGATGGTAATTTTTAAAATAAAATATTTAGGTGCAGATTGAAATGATAAACAATTCCGTGCTACAGAGAACAAACTATAGGTACACTGTTACCCAAGGTTTCTCTCTAACCACTAGTCAGTTATTAAATGAAAGCAAACCAAGTGATAAAGACCTCAGACTTCATGGAACGATGGCAATTTTCGACTTATCAAACAAAATTCATAACAAAAGAGTATTAGGAAAGGTTAAACACACGAAAATCATAGTTTAATGTGTAACTTTAAAATATGTAGATTTGTAATAATGCAACAGACTGAGTTACACAATAATGTGGAAATGAACGATAATAATGAACTACATACAAACAGAAACAAATGAATGAAACTTGTATCCATTTGAGATAACAAACTTATTATGAAACACTCAAATCAATTAGATAGAACATCAAAACATCATTCACAGATACAGTTTGAAAATGAAACTAGGAACATATAAAACAGAATAGAAAAACGAAATTACTTTGAGATATATTTGATAGTTGAACACTTTGTGGTGCAGTTGTTGAAATGCTATCTGACATGAGTTTGGTTGGAAATACATCTGGAGTTGTTATGTCTTTTGCATCATCTATGGCAGCTGAATATTGAGTTTCTGTAAACCATTCAGTTTGATTGACAGATTCACCTGAAAATTTAAAGTATAATGGAAATTATTATAAATGGTTTATTATTTATAACAATATAGTAAACATTCATCTTACATGTACTTAGAAATAATGAAATATAAATTTTGAAGTTAAGTTCACATAACACAGGTAAGGCATTCTAATACCCAAATTATGATTTGGGTGTTAATATGTCTTATCCTTTTGATCCCTCCAGCACTAATAATCTCCGACGTCATAGAAAGAAGGTTCACAAACCGCGATCTAATAAACTTAAGGTGGGATCCCATTTTTTCATTGAGTAGTCAATGACTGGAACGCCTTACCCGAACAAGTGGTATCAGCCCCATCAAAGAGAAGCTGGATCTTCACTGGGAGGCAATCTGTCAGGATTAACAGAAGTTTATCAACTTACTATCCTTATTACTGAAGACTAATACTGAATATCATACGAGTCAGTATGAAATTCTGTAAACCAAACAGACATAAGTATGATATACAGTGTAGGAATTGGCTTGTAAATAAAAATGAAACAACTATGTTAATTAAATCAATCTTAATTACCTTTTTTGATTTGAGTAGTTGAGTATTTAATACCGCTAATCCTCCTTAAATACCAACAATGTATCTAAGAGCCTAGTATACAAACCTGTGAATAGGTTACATTTGAACATATGAAAACGGAAGGTTTATCCAAAAACTGTTCAACTTAACAGACAATTTACACATCACGGACTGACTATAGCTACACAATCATTGAAAATACCAGTGATGGATGATCCATGATGGTTGCAAAATATATAGGCAATCAAATTAGGTTGGAAATGTGAACTACTACTACTTCCTCTGTATTGTAAAGATCGTGAACAATTTTTCAGTGTATTGCTTCTAATTACTTCAGTTTATCAACATTTAGTCAGTCAGTCACAACGTGGAACCTGGTAAGTATGTACATTAACTTAAGTTGTCATATCCCGTCCTCACAGAGATGAAATAGTCAGTCCAAACCCCAGAATAGTTGAGGTAGTAACAGTATCAGTGAAGTTGTGAAATATTCAGAGTCGAAGATACGATTCGAGGAAATATAATAAATTAGTGAAATAAAAACGAAAAACGTTCAGAGGAATTTAGAAGCTCAGAATCTGGGGGAGGATAGTGAATGGATGCACCTGCATCATTGCAAACGATTTTGAACACTTTCATTCAAGTCTCTAACTATTAGTTACGATAATCACGTGGACGACAACCTATTAGCAAGACTCTGTCCAACTGACTTCATGGATTGATACGTATTTTGTTTTGCCGAACCAAGCTTTCTCAAAACCTACTCATACAGCAAAAAACATCTGCCATCGAGGTAGGCAATGGTCGTGCATACGTATCACATGTCCTAACTACCTCAGTTGATGAAGACTCACCATTTATTCAATTGATTTGCCATCTTGATTTAGTACTCCATTCTTAATCCAGACATTGGCTACTCTGTGGTTCCAAAATACGTGAGATATACTTTGAAGACACCTATGATCGGATACTAGTAGCACACGAATATCCTTTATCCTTAATCATCATGTTTTACACCTATTAGGTAGGGTGAAGCGAAATACTGAATAGCGAACTCGTAATTACGTTGGCTAGGGTTAGGGGATCTTGCCTATGTCACAAGTGATGCAAGTTGGTAAAAGCCTATCGAACCTTCTGAATTCGTACCGAGATCTCATCAGACATCAGGACTGATGAGACTCAAGAGAAGTGAAGTGGTGAACACGTCCAATGTCTTTACTCCCTACCATTAATTCAGACGCTGACTCGAAGAGTTAGTTCCTAGGAGATGTAATTTATAGAATAAGTTAAATACCTTCCCGTGTCCATTGAATAAATAATACGATTGATCGATTGGGGATGTTCTTTATGTTCTTAATTAGATTTAAATCACGTTGATTGGAAAGAAACTACTCAATAATATAAAATGAACAATAGATTTAATGAGATTGTGAGTTCTTTAAGCATTGTTTTAAAGGAAAAACACATAGACAGCTAAAGCTATGTCGAATTTTCAAAAATGATCATCAGTCAGTCACAACGTAAAACCTGGTACGCATGTTCACGTTGCCATACCTCATTAGCACAGCGAGTTGGCATTATCTGATGAGATGATGAAAGCGTTATCTCTAAAAAGATATCTATGACAAAGTTAATTAAAATTGAGACAGCGAACAACGACGAATATCACTTGAAGTAACCGAATCCGATAATAGTTCGCCAGAACTCCGACTCGACAATTAGTGTTCGAGAACCTGTACGAGGCTAATGTACTTCTTTGGTTTGCTTTATAATGACAGACACTGCCACAGAGCCTCATGATCAGCCGAGTCGAACGCAGCCTTAAGGTTAGGGAATTTAACTATAGCAGGACGTAGAAAAGTGTTTATTTTACAGAAACTGACGAAGGGTGAATAGTGGGTCTATACATCTACGTCTAGGTCTGAAGTCAGACTGATTTTCTCTGATTTGATTTTCACGAGCTCTAGTTAGACGTAGAAGTATTATTGAAGATAATGTTTTAGACAATACACTAGTTAAACTGATTCCTTTGGGATTGTTACAAGAGGTATTTTGTCCTTCCTTATAAACTGGGACGTTGAGCGACCGAAACAAGTGAGATGGGATTATGTCCAGTTCCCAGATTTCCGTTAATCTAATTGCTAAAACTGGACCAACATTCTTAAAAACCTCAAAAACTAGTTCATCAGATACTGCTGCTCTCCCAATCTCACCGGGAGTTGGAGAGCTTACATCTATTTGCTATTAAGGTTGCTTGGAGAGAGTGGACAACTGAAGTGTGGCTGAAGGCCAGCTGAATTGCTCCCTAGATTATTTTCCCCACCGATCTAATCTCCTGGACCAACAGTGAATAATAGTCCCATCGTTTTATAATTTAAATACCGACCAATAAAATATGATTATTGGCGAATAACATTCCCTATTCTAAGCTAACACCCGATAACAAATAATCAAATGAATGAATTTAAAAAAAAATCAAAATTAGCTCTCATGTAGCCACTATCAATTATTAGTTTTATAGTTAGGAGGATGTAAAAAATCTAAACTAGGAGATTAAAATCATTTCATATCTTTTTTCTACTAAATAACTCTTTCTTCCTATACTATATCTTTATATGCAATCTTTCTCCTATATATTACCACCTTTGACCTAACTACTCCTATGAATCCGGTGTTCATCTTGCTGTGCTAATGCGGTATGGCAACCTGGACCGATGCATATATGCGCGTGGTCCTACGTTGTAGCTGACTGACTGACTGTAAAAAATCTGTTTTTCTTACTTCCATGAAGCAATGAATGACCGCTATACATAAACGCTACTATATTATGAACTAGGAATTCAATAATTAGTCCCGGGATTCCATGATCAAGTCACTATTCATACAATGAACCCACTGTTTTGCAAACCATAAACATGTTCCGTTTTTATTCCAAATTGAAGCCACCCGCAGTAATGGTTATACACATATTTATGCATAGATGGTCCAATATACAGTATAACGATTTATTTTACTTTACCGTACTTTTGTAGGACAATTTCTTTGAGATATGATAAAGTTAAAAGATGATAGATACATCTGCTGGGATCACCAGGTAAGTAATAGTGAGGTTAGAACCAGGGAACTATGGAATTGCGGTAAATCAGTTGATGAGGTTGTGAATCTTCATCTACTGAGATGGCTGGGACACGTGTTACGAATGCCTGAACACTGATTACCACGACGCGCAACGCTGACTAGTACTGGGGATAGCTAGAAGAAAGTTAGGGGCGGCCAAACCAAAACGTGGCATCAGTCCTTAAAGTCACTAACTCATAGTCTGAGCAACGTTGATAGATACAGACCACTTGGTTGGGGTCCGCATGACTATCGTAACCAATGGTTGGAGACTTTTGGTGACACTGCTCAGAATCGACCACAATGGAGTAGGTGTATACGTTCTTTGTCTTCCCTTAAATCGTGAGATTAAGGTTACTTTATACCGTTCTTTCTAATCCTTTCTTCTTGTACTATATCATCATACACAATCTTTATTTTATATACTACTACTATTGAAGTGACTGATTCTATGAATTTGGTGTTCATCATGTTGTGCCAATGAGGTATGGCAACTTGGGCCGATGCATATATGTGCCTGGTCCTAAGTTGTGACTGACTACTAGATACATGGCTATTGATGCGTTTCTAGTGAAACCACAGACAATCAATTTCCATTCTACATAAAGTTTTATGCACTAAGCCTAAGTATCTGAGCCGTGGTTTAGTGGTTAGAGTGTTCGACTTTAAGCCACTCTGCTCCATCTACTTTGGTTTGAGAAACAGGGTGGTATATTATCCCTCATGCTTAGAGTGTGGCCCATACCCAAGTACCTGGTGAGGTTCGACAATATCTTAGACTGCTAGATACGCGTTGATTCACTTTGAGACAAATAGTCGAATCAAGAAATAACACCAATCTATGAAGTTTTGAACTGTTGTTACAAATTTAGGTTGGAATTTATAATTTGACAATAGCCAGTGATCAGGAGTTAAAACCTAATCACCCTTTATCTAGCTCTAGATTTCAGACATTTCAATACTCTTACTTCATTTACTCTGCACTCTTTTAGATCGCTGATAAGGTTTTATTCTTATTTATATCTGCTCGTGCTGCTGTACTCAATAAACGCCTACTATCAAAGCTTTATCTAGACTACTGGAAAAAAGTTGAATTCTTCTCAGACACAAGCGCATAACTTACCACCTCGCCAACGTTTCAGTTCATTTTCCAAACGAGATACAATATTGTGAAGTTTCCTAACTTTCTCTTTCTCACGTTCATATCGTCGTCGCCACTCATCAGCAGTTAGTTCTTCATTTACAGTGACTAAATTCTTGATTGTTTTAGCGCGCATGCCAAACATAAGAGTTGATTTTGTCTCAGCATCGTTAAAAGCAGCTGGTGAACAACATATCACCATTGTTGTCCGTGCATTACCACCCAGAGATTCTTGAAGAATACGCGTCAACTTAGAATCACGGTAAGGAACGTGCGACTGAGAATAGAAAATTTATTGAGAACTGACTTAACAAATAACGTACTCAATTTTGGAAAAATGGGGGGACTTTAAAATTTGCCATTTCCATTTTCATTACTGAGTACACAATTTTTTACTACTTAAACAATAAATATGCGTTGTAAAACTATTTTCTGAATCGTTTGCTTGGTGAAAAGTCAACTTAAATCATCATATTCCAAACAGTTCAGTTAGAATCTACCCGATAAATATGCTAGCAACGTGCAGTTAGGTTTACGTCAATGTTTTTCATGTAACTCTGCCTGAATCCCTTTTAGGGTTACTGCCGGTCCCAAGGATAAATGGAAGATTGGAAATAAGGTTAGCAATCCCATCCAGTAAAAACGAACCATGTGAAAAAAACACTAAGCAGAAAACAATTTTTGGTTCGCATTACTCAGAATAGTTTAGCAACCAGTTCAAAACTTGAATTCGGATTCCACCACTGTCTCTGACGGACAACCAAATCATTATAATCAGTTCAAGTATACGAAGACCATTTAAACAAGAGTAGATAACGTTAAGCTTCCCTCCAGCTATCACCGTGGTCAATAAACATCAAAAGAACTCAAGTAGGTGGTCGATCGTTCAGCAACTGACAAAAATGCACGATTCTGAAATCATACTAGTGTAAAGCTTAATCTTAAGATTACTTGTTAATTTTAACACAACTGAGGAAAATAAACCAAAACAATAATAAAGTGTAAAACTTACGCTCCCTTCTACAAGTGCATTGATCACATTACCGAGAGCAGACAATGATTTGTTGATATTTTTAGCTTCATCCAAAACAGTACCCTCAGCCCCTGTTTTAGCAACTTTCTCACTACCAGCCAAATCAACAAGATAAAGTTTTCCATGGAGTTTTTTCTGCGTTTCTAAATTTTCTTGTCGAACGGTAATCATGAATACTGAATGACTTCGAGAACTATGTTCGTTCATGTCTACACAATGATAAAACGATAAGATTATAATAGCAGAGGAAGATAAACAATTTTAGTCTGAAAAATATTTGGACTGAAATTGGTATCAAAAGATTTAAATAAATTCTGGACCTTAATAACTCACTACGTAGTCTGTTGATACTAAATACGTTTAATCATTCAGTTTCAAATGTATGTAGCTTTTTTATCGCTAGATACTAACTGAAATTAAATGACTTGTAATCGGACGTTTTGAGTACTTGGATAATATTACAGAAAAATCGTTAAGACTATATTTACTAAAGTAATAGCCTCTAGTCAACCTGTTATATTACCCAACCATTGATTACTACAGGCAGTGTGTCTGGAGTGTTTCAGATGCCTTAATTTGGAAAGTCATGTGATATCACCGACCCTCAAATACAAAAGTCATACCGCGACCAATAATTTCAAGTCTATAACTTTAGATACAACCCAAAGCATGTCAAAATACCACTTTTTATTTAGCGACACCTGTATGTTGAGAAACCATTGTGTATAGCTCCAAACAATGATACGTCTTTTTAAACTACTACGTTTTCAACAATCAAAATCGCATTAACAGCAAAGGATAAATAAAGTCAATTTCTAGTTAGGAAAAATCATTAAGACATCTATATTTCTGATTCTTGCACGTGTTGAGGCCGAACGCAAGATACAGTAAATACATAATGCAATTATTGTCATGTAAACATTTTCCTTATTATTGTAATGAGACTGTAAACAACACTTCTATTTAGCAAGCAGTGGTTTTACGCACTAAGTATTAAGTGGGTAGTGGGAACGACAAGTGAGACTTACTTGTTACGGCTACATGACGATTAGCTTTCCCCTCATCAATGACGTCAAATACTTCTTCAGGACTGGACACAAACCGTTCTGTGGCTCCCTTAAGGTTTTGAATGAGAAGAAACTGCAAATATTACTTTAACATAAGGCACTCGATCTTTGTCTTCATGAACAGGTAGGTTTGTCTTTGAAACTAAGCCAGGATATACATTGAATGACAGACTTACCATCAAGCAAATCGCGAATCTTATCCATGTATATTTCAAAATATGAAACCTGAGGATTAAAAAATTATTTTCAAGAGTTACTTTGATATGGAATTCAAGGTTTTCATCCATTTGGTAGATGTGATTGAATATGTCGTGTATTATCCGGGGGATAACACCCTGAAAGACTGGGTCACCTAAAATCCCCTGAACGAAGCGTTATTAAACGGATATTCTTGCCTCCATGGTAAATGTTTTTCCACTCGATGTCTGACCGTAGGCGAAAATTGTGCCGTTATATCCATTTAGAACATCTGCAACAATTGGTTTGGCAACAATTTCGTAGACCTCTAACTGGGTTGCCTTAGGTTGTACTACATGGTCAAAGTTAAAGTTTTTGCCCTGAAATAAAGAATTATGTTGATCCAAAAAATCTTACTCCAATCGATATTGCCGTTTTGCCATCACCAGGAAAAGATACAACAAACTTGCTGTCGTTCGCCTTTTCTAGATCATTGAGTGGTCTTACACGGCAAATGACCTTTATGCTCTCAGACATATTAAACCCTGCCCGAAAATCTAGATCCGCCAAACGATCTCAGGAGAAAAGCGCGCCAACAAGTAACTGGCACAAATCACCTTCGCCATCATTTCACTACTCCAAAAATTGTTGTATTGAATAGCTTCAAATTCCAAACTTTGTTGACAGGAAAAAACGAGTTGATCTCTATTGGAATCCGCGTTGGGATCATGAAGAATGCTGCTTTTTATATTCGGAAATTATAAGAGTATACTTTTGTTTTAGTTATTGAGAAATAGTGCTCCAATCAAGGATTGTGTTTTTTGAACAAAAGGTTAGATGTTTCTGGATGTTCTTTGATAAAGTTTTTACATGAGTGTTTATTCTTCCAATTAGGTTGCTTGAACATTCAATAATTCTCATGGAAAGTGATTCGAAGTTTTGAATACTCTTGGAGAAAACTTGTTTATGACGGAATTTTTATTCGTTCTTTTGTTCCGAAATACCCAGCTGTGTCGTCCAAGATTTCCTGTAATATTCAGAATGCAGTGATAGAGTGGATGAGGTTAGAAATCGATTTTTGGAATGAAGTGAACTGTGACCGGATCCTGACTTGCACGAACGGATGAATATGCTGTAAATTAGATTTGGGGTAATCACGTTTGAGTGATGCGGGCAATGAAAATCCAAATACGGAGCAAGTTGGATGATTTTGTTTCATCCACCCGCCAACTCTGGTAGATATTAAGTTGACAAGCGAGAAAGCGAAACAAATCGGAGCGGAGAAGGAGAGCAAACGGACTCCGTCTGATGGAGCGTAACTCACTTTCTATAACTGGAAAAAACTAAATTGATGGCATGTAGTGAATAGGGTAAGCAATACACGCGCTCTCAATTAAAGATATTGCATGTTACAAGCGAATAATGGACAATGTGAATATATGAGTGGATAATGATTTATTAAAAATAAACTAATTGATCGACCCAGAAACTGGAATAACCTATGCGGCCGTGACGTAGTATTAACAAAATCACTCTAATCTACAATAAGATAAAGTAGAGTGGTCTAGCTTCTGAAGTTGACCATTATGATGCAGGTATCTTCGAAATTGAGTCCCTTGTTGATTTCTGTACTCCTCAAAGGAAATCTGAACTTTTTAAACCAGTATCATTGGGTTTGTTCGCAGTTTTCCTATGTGAACCTCACTAGGCTGTGTAAATCAATGTGGACATTGTGATATTCTTAAGACCTTGTTTTAAAACATTCGCCTCCCATACAACCGTAGAGAATCTTGATCCACTTGTTCTTACTTACTGTGATTTCTAAACCACCGTCTGCCAGTTCCTTATATAACGCCTCCTATGAACATTAGGAAAACTTAGATCCACCTGATTGTCTTGATGATGTTTTAATCAGTTTGACGAGATGCTGAGATTAGACAAAGTGCATGCACATTATTCCCCACCACTTATAACCATGACTGACACCATCAGAATGACGAAATATTGCAGACTTGATGGCACATGAAAATTCGTTGATACATGGAACGAATAATAATGGAGCTGCTATCAAACAATGTGACGCCTCCCATCAACCTCTGGTTTTCAAGAGGAGACCTTCAACCAACGGCAAACCCCTTCGTTTGCCAAAGTAGGTGTTCGCTCACTACCAAACTTTCCGGTTTAAGTAGAGACTTATTGAGCGGAACCTGGTATGACCTTTTGTTTACGTCAAAGTGGACTAGATATTCTGGCTTTCCGTCATCTGATGGGTGCGCCCACTTCGTGCACAATGAAAAGTTTATTGTCCTCAAGCGCTACTGAAAGGCGGTTAAGTTCATAGTATTCGTTTGGATGAATCATCGGAGTGTACTAACGATAAGGTTATTTTTATGCTCTGTTATAGTGAAAACGATCATTAGTTTTATGGTGGGTGAACGTCTACTCTTCATCATCAACATTCTGGTTTTCCCCAAAATAACAAACTATTTTGGAACGGTTTCCACTCAATGGGTGCTCCAAGAAATTTATTCACTGAAACTAAGGGGTACTATGTAAATGCTCACAGCACACGAAAAAAATGGTGGACACGGAAAACCTTGATGTGATTGTCACCTCGGAAACACGGCTAACATCAGACGTGTATGGTGGTAAAATTCAATTGCTTAGTTTCTTACTTGGTAGGACTGACGGACTAAACTGGGGGCGTAGTAGAGTTATCCTGAACGCGGGAAGTACCTTAACTATACAAGGTGACAAGACAGTGGCAAGTGATTCAGGGACATGTGGACTGGTGTGCTGCAGGATGAAATGTAAACGGTAAGATATTGAACCAGTTTTAGTGTGCCACACTCTAGAATGTATAAGGGATGATTCCTCCTTAAGCAGACCTAAGTCCTGATGCAATCGGGGTAAAAGCCTTATATTAGGTGGCTTTACTATACCGCCTATAAACTGAGGAAACTTGGAAGTGTAGTCATCAACAAAAGAAATCACTATCGCCCTAGCTTTATTCCAGACCCCACTAAATATGAACTAGAAAACTCCTCGTCTCTCTTGGACCTAACCTTCACACATGATGATGTCAGTCAAATAACTTTCCTCCTACTTTTAGGGAGAGGTGGTCATGTAGTCATCTTATTCAAGCTCATGGCTGCGATGGACTGCCAAGCAGTTGCACAGGTATGTCCAGACATATGAAAGGGGTACATGAGGGCGATCAACATTGAATCTTCGGCTGAAAACTAGATGGTTGACTCAGGGACATCGGTAGAAGATGGATGGACTCATTTCCCGCAGTTTCACCATCGGATAACTTAACCATACTGTGAACAATCACAAAGAAAATGAAGTATGGCCATCCCCGGATAGACCGGGATATTCGGCGTTTACTAAGATCAATGGAGAAATGTTGAAACATCGCCATCAGCACAGGTGGGTATGAAATAAGTGTATAATTACAATCCGGAAAGATCAGCGAGTATATGAAAAGCAATTAGCATAATCTGTTATCAAACAGCCGAAGAGACTATTCTCGTACACTTATCATAAAAAAGGACTCGTCATTGGATTCCCAACCTAATGACAGAAGGGATTGGGTCTCAAACGGCGGAGAATGGTCAGGACAAAGTGGAGGCCATGGCAATCTATTTCGGGACAGTTTCCACTCAGGAGCCTTTTCTGAACAAAGAACTAGACTCAGATACGAAGTCGAACAATAATAATAAGTTGTTCCCAAATAAAAATATGCTACCTGAGGCATGCCAGCCTACAAGCGAGATCAAATCATTACAGATGATAAGTTATGGCTTATATCAAGAAGCTAAACCTAAAGTCCTTAGCACTTCAAGCAGGGAACGATCAGCAGGACCGAGTGAGCCAATCCGTTAAGTCTTGAGACAAATTACACAATATATTACCTCCAATATGTCCAATATGTCACTTGACCAAGATGAGTTATCTACGAACTGGAAGAATGTAAATGTCACCCCAATACATAAATCTATTTCAAGGCAACTTCCATCAAACTACAGACCTCTGAGCCTCACCAGTATCGTAGATTAATACTGGAAAGAGTAATCAAAAAGACCACGATGACATTACTAGAAAACAACAACTTGCTTAACAGTAAACAACACAATTTCAGAAAAAGTGTGTCTTATTCAACAACTTTGCTTAAGGTGAGAGAGCAATGAATAGATGCTCTAGATAGTGGGAAATAAATGGGAGTTGTCTAAATGCACTTCAACAGAGCATTTATCGAGGTGCAGAGAGATAGATTAATATTCAAACAGGAAAATCCGGGGACTGATGGACCTCTACTAAAGTGGACAAGCGATTTCTCGGTAGGTCGCAGGTAAGAGTAACTTCCAAGTGCTCCTCCTAGAAACCAATATTTAATGCAGTACCGCAAGGCTCTGTTCTATGTCCTTTACTATTCATATTGAATGTAAATGAACTCCCAAGTATTGTTGAGTCCTCTATGCTACTGAAGATGGCACAGATATTCAGTGTTTGACAACGCTTTTACCAGTAACACCTTCTAATATAATCCGTACCCACCAAGAGAAATCAAAAGACAGAGTCGAGGAGATCGGAAGAGTGTATTTGGCGATTACCAATATATCGGAATTCCCTGGTCTAATCTGACTAGAGATTGCGGTAGATGTTGAGCACGGCGTTCTCACACGTGATCTGGTGCGGATGCATGACCGAGCGCCTTCAGCTAGATGAGTCCACTAAAACATATGGTCAGCATCCAATGTCGAAAACTTACAGAGCTATTTATTTTGGTGATTTATTTGCCGCTACACTACTATACGTTAATGCAAATATCTGGCAAGGAATAACAGGAGACAAGGATGTATGTGCACTCCAGGCAAACTTAGATGTTTTGATTGGCTGGTCTAAAGATGACTGTTGCCTATAAACGCAGTCAAACATATCTTTGTGCACTTTGGAAATACGAAAGCAAATAATTACAGCATAGGGCAACAGTGATCGCAAGAGAGAATGGATTTTCGTACATTAAAAGAGGAATGCTAATAGACTTGAACGTTCAGTTCATGAGATGAGGCGCTCCATAGAGGTTGCCTCGCGACAAGCAACTAATGGTCGAGAACGAATGTAAGTAAAGTATAGAACTATCTATAAAAAGAAGTAATGCGGGAAATGCATAACTAGTCAGTTAAAAACATCAGCTTTGGTGTACTGTTTTGTGTTTCTTGCTAGTGTTACCAGGTAAATAACGGAGGTACTGATGAAGGCGCAGGATGAAGTCATTCGTTCCATATGTGTGTTTTCGGTGGTATGCTAACAGGATGCGAAAAAGAAAGGGAAAAGCGAAGAGTGTGAGGTGGAACAGAGTGGTAATTACTGGTAAAGTTAAGTCACTTATGATGGAATATATTTATCTGAAGTCAGTCCAATTCATATGCTTTTCAATGAAAACGGTGAAGTGATATCATGAATATTATGTACAACTGGATGGTAGACGACACTGTCTAACTGGTAAAAAATCAGTCCGATCCGGAAGCCTG